AATTAACATTGAGTCCAAAACAAATGCTGCCTATGAGTCCCTTGCTTAGCCAGTCCATCTTCCAACCCATTTGCAGACCTCCTAAATGGATTTGCATATTCTTGAGATCATCTTGAATCTTCTGAAATCCTTTCTGAATTGCCATAGAACCCCTTCTCCTTTTTTCAACCAACCCATGACTATTTTTGAGTCCCCTTCAACAATCAGACTAATAATTCCCATACCCTTAGCTTTTTGTGCCCTAATAATAGCAGCCAAAAATTCATCTCTTACTGAGTCGCCTTGATCGATAGGTCCTGAATACAGGCCACATATATTCCCATTCTCATCTCTAGACACTCCACCAATTTTGGAAGGTTTCTTACAAGCTCCAAATTCCATCCCCCCCTAGGGGAGGAGGGAGACCCAAAGAAATCGGACACAGGTTTCTCCTTGAGATTAGAGAGAGCAAACAGTGAAGGAAACAAATCTTTTGAAGGAACATTGAACATTCCCAACCCACACATCTTCCCAAAAACTTATCCTATTACCAGAAAGCCAAATCATACTTGACGTTCTCAAGGAATTGGGGCAGGATACCATGCACTGCTTTCCACGGCATGGCAAGGTTAGCTCTTTGCAGAATGCTGGCATCCCGTCCATTCCTAGCCAGCCAATGAATACTTGAGACCATTTTATGCCACAATCTGTCATTCTCTAAAGGGAAACACCACAACCACTTACTTAAAAGAGCAAGGTTTTTCTTACTAATGTTACCTATACCCAACCCCTCCTCTTTCCTTTTTACCACCTTTTCCCATTTCATCAGATGGTCCCTTTTTCTATCTCCTGGTTCCCACAGGAAATCTCTCATCAGCTTTTCCACCCTCTTCACAACTGCTTGAGACATCCTAAATACAGTCATGAAGTAGATAGGGAGGTTGGCCAAGGTTGATTTTATCAAAGTGATTTTCCCCCCTAGAGAAATGTACTTCCTTTTCCACCCAGCTAATGCTTTCTCAATTCTCTCAACTACTGGAGTCCAAAAGCTTATAGATCTTGGATTGCCACCAAGGGGTAATCTACTTCTAGGTTCCTTTGTATGACTTCATTTCTAACCCTGCCCATTGTGGTTTTACTACTCATCCATCTATGCATTTGTTTTTCTGCATGATGTTACTTAACTGCCCAAGCACAATACTTTTGCTTCATGCAACATAGCTGGTCTTGCAACTGTTTTATAGAATTTTCCTTTTAGCCAAAGTGGTATTTGTCTTATCACATATGATTCTGGATTAGACCTGTTCATGGGCCGGGTGGCCCGACGGGCCGGCCCGGCCCGGCCCGACCCCCGGACGGGCTTGAACATGCTTATAGGCCCACGGGCTTAAATTCGGGCCAAAAAGCCCGGCCCGCAATAAATTCGAGCCGGGCTTGGGTTTTGTCAAAATAGCCCGGCCCGACCCGACCTAATATTAAACTTAAAATTAGTTATGTGATTATGTCCATTTGAATAAATTTTTTGATTTAAGAATGTAAAATTGTGTTTTAAAATATAAAAGAAAGGGAAAAATACCATCTTGTAGGCCCATTGTTCATTTAAATAGAAAAAAAAAATACTATCTGAATTTTTAATTCTAATTTGAATAGGGAAAATTGTTTTTTTTTTCAATTAGGTCGGGCTTCGGGCTCGGGCTCGGGCCTAGTATATTTTCATTAGTGACAAGTGAAAGCCCGGCCCGGCCCGACCCATGAACAGGTCTATTCTGGATGCACCTCTCCTTTGTTATGGATTCTTAACCCAGGTAATGAAAGCGGTTGCATTGTGTGCATTGTGTCATTTCTTGGTCTCCAATCCTAAGTGTACTCTGGCTTGCACTCTTATTATTATTAAATTTACATTGCATCTATTCTATTTTAGTTGTACTTATTTTGAAACCTCATGTTTCTAATATAGTTGTCCATAGACCTAATTTTGCATTTAATATAGTTGTACATCTATAACATGAAGTATTGGTTATTGCTTACATTAAACAAAGTACGTTGTTGCAGGTTCTCATCTTGTTCATTAGTTGTACATGTATAACATGAAGTATTGGTTATTTGCTTACATTAAACAAAGTACATCTGCTGCTTTGCATACTTTTGGCAACTCATACTTTCTTTGCAGTTGCTGATGGATGATTATGCATTGATATGCTTTGGTCTTTGTTTTTAAGCTTTTGGAATGGTGTGACCGAAGTGATTTATTTGGGGCCATTTAATGACAGATGAAGTGGCTGTACTAGGGGTGCAACTTGAGCAAGCTTGAGTTGAGCATTTTAAAACTTGAATGGGTCTGGCCCAATGCAACATAAATTGTTCAAATTGGGTGTTTGCATCCTTGGGCTAAATGAACAACTTTTTGCTCTGTCTTATCAGTGAATAAATCATTAATTAGGTTATGATCTCCTTAATGGCTGAATGACATATTGGATTGATTACTATTATAGTTAGGATAAGGCTTAATTGAGTTGAGTTGACTATTTTTTCCAAGTACAAACCAATGAGTAATTCAATTCAGCCATTTCAATGCTTACCAAATGACTTCTTGTTGTGGAAGTCCTTGATTGGTTTTTCTTTCTTTCAACCTGAGTTTGTTTCTACCTTATATTCTTGATTAGGTATGCAACAGCAAGTGCACGTTCCGATGGTCTTCTTCTGCTTTGTGGAGGGAGGGATGCAAACAGTGTGGTGAGCTAACAAAATTTCCATTCCAATGATGTTTGATACCCGTAGATTCTTGGAGTGTATATTTTTGTACATTTTTTGATCAGTAATATGTTTTCATACATTTTTAACAGTTAACTTGTTTTTCCTTTAACACTGCATGATTTTAAAAGGAATTTATGGAGGAACTTCATAAATTGGATTTACACATTTTATCATGTTACTTTGCCCTATGTACCATCAAGGTTTAAACCAGTGTTGGTGGAAATATTGGTCTTTGAAAGCGATGGGATTCTTTTTGTATTGGGTTGTAGTTTTAACAACCTCTTGTTGTAATCTTTGTCTTTTTTAATCTTAATAAAATTTCTGTGTTGCTGATAAAAAAATATTGGTCTTCCAAATATAGGAAACATGTTGAAATGTTGTAAAGAGTTATTCTTTTTGAAGATAAATGAAAAGTAAAATTTATTAAGAAAAAATATTACATCAAGAGGTGATTAGGCATTGCCCACCAAAAAAAAAAAAATACAACAAAACCCAATCAAATCTCCCAAGAAACAAACCAAGCCAGAACCAGCAACAGTCTCGAAAAGACCAAACCCAAATGCAACCAAAGACCCTTCTGACTAAAGAGAAAGACAAAAAGGGAACCCATTCAAAAACAAGCCCCAAGGACCCACACTCATGGGACAAAGATTACCCCCAACCCTAATCTCTACCAAACAATAGAAACACCCAACTTCAATTCAAACCCCTCAAAAACCCCTGACATCCCACCCTAATTGTAAAAATGCATTTTCTCCTTCCTGGCTTTCATACATTTCTTCATAAATACTGGAAACTGTTGAAACTTGAAAGGTTCTGAGTTGCTTCTTGTTCCTAAATCTTCTTACTGCAGTAGGCATCTGTTCACTTAATCATATCCCCTTAGAACAGTCAATAAATCTTTCTAATTTAACCACTGCATTTTTCTCAAAAGTTTGAACTGCCTCCCACACTCCAACATCTACTCAAGCATCAACTTCAACTTCAGTACTCTTAAAGCCTTTTTTTCCACCAATGTACTTGTGAACCCTCTCTGATCCGACTTTCCATTGACTTCTTCCCTACAATCTTCTTCTTCTATCTCCCTGAATGTCTTGCATATTCCTCCTCTCCAAGAAAAAATAAGCCCAAAGTTTTGCTTACTTCCACTTCTTTTTTAACCACTGTCCCCAAGTCCATTTCCTTACCAACTTCATGAGTTTCATAAAAAAAATTCTGCCTTCCTCCTCTAACAGATCGACCTCCAGTAATCCAGTTCCACTTCCTTTTCCTTATCTTTGTCCAGCAGAAAAGTTCTATTCTTTTTCTCTCATAAACTTTTGAACCTGACATCTCTGCTACCCCACCATCTTTCTCACCCTCCCTTTTCCTTTCATTCATTCTGTCTTTAAAAACCTCTTCCCTCTCTTCCTCCCTTTTTCATCCTTCTTGCCAATATCTCCACTGCCATAGACTGATAAAAGTCATGCATGACCCCCTCATAAATTCCAGCTTCAGATTCCATCTCCTCCTGTGGACACACATCTGCCACTGTTCCACGTGCCACAATTAGATTCCCATTCTTAAGATCCACGCTGTTCATTGGACCTTCATCACATTCAATGAGGAACCTTCTTTTCTATTGCCTTTTCCAATGCACAACACAATTGGATGAGCTTCTTGCTTTTCTTTTCCAACCTTACATTGCCGAGAACTCTCCCTGGATCTGTCAACAGTCCTCGCCATCTTTGTTTTTGAGTTGCCCTTCTTTATGATCTTCTCTTTATTCTTGTAGGAATAATAAGTTGTGCACCATGCAAATGCAACAAATCCATCCGTATCCTGTAAAGAGAAAGTCTGAACTTTTGAAATATCTTTTTCGTAATCAACCTCCTTCTTACACCTATGCCTCTGAGAAGGAGAAGATGAAGATAGACCACCGCCATTGTCTAGCAATGTGCTATTACCATTCAAACAAGCTTGGGGCAAACCCGAGTCACGTGACTCCTTGAAAACATTCAACTATTGGTCTGGACCACCCTCTGGTTGAACCAACAGAAAACTATTAGAATTTGGCTCCTTAGACTTCTCTACAACATTAACTTCCTCTTTTCCACTTCCCATAACAGTGTTCCTCGGTGGTTGAGCTGCAAACTGCTCAACATCATCCATTGTAGTTTCTCCTTGGGAACCAACTTCTTTTCCAATTGCCCTTTCCCCTTCCCTAGCACAACTAATCCACTGACCCACTTCATTCTTGTTAACTCTACCGCCATGTGTAATCCACCCTGCCATGTCATCACCTTCAACCTCATGCCCCTGACTCCACAACCAGAGACCATTAGATTTAACTACAATCACTCGAGGGATCATGCAAATTGGCTCCTTCCAACACAGCTCTGCAAAGTTCTGCGACCTTCACCAAAACCTCTTTGCACCACAAGTTGAACAGTAATCCAAAATGTCTAACCACTAACCTGTCTGTCTCTACTGATATCTGATTACAAGAGGGAACCCATCTTTTCACTCGAAACACCCCCTGGACTGTAGAGATCGAGACTGCCACAAAGTTATATGATGCGAATCATGCGATGCCAAAATCAAATAGAGCCGAATCATGTCCAAACGGGAAAATTAAGCCTGAGTCCTCAATCTTAAAAAACTTCTTAATAGTTTCCTTAACAAATCCCAATCTGCCACTTCCTTTAGATGATTTCGCAATCAGCAAATCTTTCCATCGTTCGCTTGCCTTTTCTTGTTTGAATCTAACAACCTGCTCTTGTAAGAGGGAAGTAAAATCCATCCATCCCTTTGACCTTCTCTCCCTTGAGGAATAAAAATCAATTGTCGTCCTTGTTTTCAAAAAAATTCCTTGCAGCAGATAAATCTTCCTTTAGCATTTTCCTTCCTCTCCACTTACAAATCTTTTGCTTGGAATTTTAATTGGATCCTTCCAATGTGCTTTTGAGTCTATATAAATTGCACCATCGATGAAACCCTTAAACCATTCAATCAAGTTCAGATCCAAGAAAATCGTTGCATTCCCTACTTCCCTGATCTTCAACCAGAACTGATCACATCTCCTGATTTCCTTCCTTAAAAACAAATACCTTGGACTCAACCATACGTGTCACATTTGGCATAAGATATATGGAAATCATACAAATCAAAAACATGAGAAATCATATATATGGAATATGGTGGAAAGTGGAAATATCATGAAATATATGGAAACATACAATGATAATTATGAAAGGAAGGAAGCATAGGCTTAGGTATGTAACCAATCACAAAAAAATTTATATGGAATATGGTGGAAATTGTACAAATCAAAAACATGAGAAATCATATATATGGAATATGGTGGAAAGCGGAAATATCATGAAATATATGGAAACATACAATGATAATTATGAAATGAAGCATAGGTTAGGTATGTAACCAATCACAAAAAAATTACCCAAGGCCTACCCCTACCAAGAGTTCAGATAATGGCGTTTTTATAAAAGAAGCATAGGTGCACCCTTATAGATTATTATCTTATTCCAAATCATGAAAATAGCCAATAAAATAAGGTTAATAGACAAAACAATGTGCTGCAAAGTTGTCCCGTAAACTTTAATAGTTAAGGCTACATAAAAGAATAAGTAAAGTTGAAATTCAAAAAAAGTGCTAATGATTATAATGAATCAACCAAACACTATTACACAAACAAAAGCTAAGATTTCATGTCATGTCTGAAAAGAATTTTGAGCTGGCTCAAATTGGTCATCACGTCCATTAAGTGGTAATACTGCTTCTCCACATATCTATATATTGTTGCCTAAGAAGATGGGTGAATTTTGCTTGAGATACGAGAGAGGTGTCTTCTTATGGGGTGAATGTTTGCAAAGTGATTGCTAGACAGAATTTTCCAGCTGCTCCAAGTTTGTTGTGGGGGGTGTAGTAGATTAGGATTCTAGGAAGATGCATGGTGTAGAAATGGAAAGTTGTGTGAGGTTTGCCCTTGGTTGTACAAGTTGAGCATGGAGAATGTTTTTGTAAGTCTGTGTTTTGAAGTAAGAAGAAATCAAGTTGTGTGGTACTGTGGTCTTCAATTTTCAGACATCCATGATTGGATGGAGAGTTGGATGAATGTGCAACATTATTTGCCAGGTTGGAAAAAGTCAAGGTGGATGTTAGTAAACCTGATGCCAGGTGGTGGAAAGAGTGTGTAGAGATGGGGAATTTTCTATTAAATCTTTTCATAATACTTTGATGAAAGGTCAGATGGAGAATAGCAGCATCTTAGGTGTTTTGAGAAATCCAAATCCTCCTCAGGGTTTCCACTTGGTTACTTTTGCTGGGTAGTATTCTCAGTTTCTCACTATAGATCACTTCAAGTCAAGGGGATTTTTCCAATTAGATGCGTCATGTGCAAAGAGCACGAGGAAGATGCATTTCATTTGTTAATTCAATCTAGGGCAGGTGGTTTGCTCTTTCTTCTCTGTATTATTTGAAGCGTCTTTGCTGACTCTGGTTCATCGTAAGGAGATCTTCTCCAAGTAGCCAAAATTGGCAGGCAGCAACAAAGCTAAAATCTTTTGGAGCATCATTCCTTTTGTGGTCTGTTGGAGCATTTGGAGGGAATGAAACCAGCGATTTTTGAAGACAAGTGAAGTCAAGTTAGTCATTGGGCCTTCAATTGTTGATTGGGCCCTTGCTCATTTTGAGTTAAAAATTTGAGCAGTATTGATTTTGGGGAGTTGTGCCCTTGTGGTTGACTTTAGAATTTTGTAACATGTAGTTTATTTTTTATTTTTTTGGTTAAGTAAAGAAAGTTTTACTAAATATGTGACTGAGAGTTAGTACAAACAGGTTGGAGGATTCCAACAACCCAAAATTACAAAATGGATCACTATTTTTTATTAAATAGTGAGTTCACCATCCCATTTGTAGTTCTTCTAACCCAATTAAAGGTGATATTCAACTCCCTTTATAGGCATTCTTTCTCCCTAAAGGCGGTGTGCCTGTAGATCCAAGGGACTGGGCAGTTGCACCCTGTCCAAGATATGACCAGTTTTGAACCCCCTTCTACTTACAACTATTGGAAGCTAGATAGCTTTTCTAATCTTACTCTTTGTAGCAAAGTCAACAGTTCAGCTTTCAACAAATCTCCAACTCCACTAGGTCCTGATTACAAAGCCACCACCCTGCCTGAGGAGTCTCTAAACACTCCCATCAAAATTCATTTTTGTTCTATTGTTTGTTGGAGATTTCCATTTCAAGATCACCCTATCTTTTTCTTTGAAAGATTGTACCACATCAGCCCATGTTCTTATTATTTCATCTGCTGAGAATATTTGAAAATTTTTTATTGTCTTTTCCCAATGTGCAACTGTAACATTTGTACTCTCTATTATCTCCTCCTTAGACCTGCTTTTCTCATTGAAAATTTTCTCATTCCTTTCTTCCCATATAGTTCTAAGTTCTAACCACTGCTGTGCTGACTGTCCTTCACATAATTGTCCCTCTCTTCCTTGGTTGTCTTAGGAAGCTTGGATTGAAGAGACTCACATCTTGAGGAGGAACTCACCTGTAACCAAAGATAGAGTAGTACTCCCAAACACAAAGCACAGAAATTAGTAAGTGGGGAGTGGTTTCACCACTTGTTTTGCAAAGAAAGCACATATGAGAATATAGTCTTTTATTAGGCCTTCTTTTTTGGAGCGTGCCACAAGTATTTATCAAAAATCTTTCACTAGGAAGTTCTCCCCCAGAGGATTGGACTTTATGAGGGCTTTGAAGAGCGATGCACAGGTAAAGAAACCATTGGAAGAGATTGACCATATTCTACTGTCCTCCAAATTTTGGTCCAAAAAGACAGTCCAATTTGGCCAGTAACTCAACAAGGGATTCACATTTATTAACCCTCAAGCTGCTCCTAAAACCAAAGTCCCAGTTTATCTCAAAGGGGGAGGGTGTCCCAATTTCAGAGACAGGCTCAAGATTGTAGTTAGACAGGGTATAAAACAGAGGGAACTGCAGTTTAAGACGAGTCTCTTGTAACTAGAGATCCTCCCAAGTTTGTAACTGGTAGTTTATTGTTTTGCTTCTTTTGTGGCTGGAGCATCTTTTGATGTAATGCTTTGTGGTGAAATATCTTCACCTTTTTCTATCTTTTTCTTTTCAATGAATTTTACTTTTACCATAAAAAAATCTCGTGTACTCCACATTGTGCCAGGAATCACCCAAGAGAACAACTCTAAAACCACCAAAACACATTGTGCCAGTAGTTTTCATTGGGGAATATGCTGACTAGTAGTATTTTGTTTGATACCCTTGGAAGTGAAAATATATCATGGAAATATTATGAAATTTATTGATTTTTTTTGTTATGATGTTAACCATGTAAAAATGTATAAAACCTTTATGGATGCCATACTTAGAGCTTGGAAGTTGTTACTCATTGAAGATTGTGTGTCATGTGGAGCAGCCAATCACATTAGATCTATGAACCATTTCAAGAGGTTGATTGATGAGGGAGATTTGAAGTAGTGGTTGTAGTTTTGCTTCTTTGTTCCACCTTTCTAGTGCAATTGTTCATGTCTTGAACATTTTTTTTGAGAGAACTAGTCAAAAGTTGTTTGTTTATTTTATAAAATTCTTATGGCTTAGGCATTGACTAGGTGCCTCACTATCACCCTGAATTGCCCTAGACTCCTTGAGGCCCTTGACAATTATGTGAACAAAGTTGACCTGTTGATAATATTGGTGATGTTGTATGTATCATGAATAAATTAGATGAACTCAAGAGTCTTTTGGAACAAAGGCTGTCAAATTGAGGATGAGTGGCAAAAAATAGTGGGCAAACTATTTTCCTGGACTGCTGGACAGCAGCTCATCAGATAAGAAGGGATAGATCAAATTAAGTTCTCTGTTTGATTATGAAAATCTTTTTGTAAACACAAAGGGAATGGTGGTTTAGTTCTTGATTATTGTAAGGTCTCTGTTTTTTAATGAAAGTATACTTAACATATTCTCAAAAAAAAAAAAAAAAAGAAAAAATTAGCTTTTAGTTTAAGAGATGTACCATATCCGTTACTCAATGAGTTTTCTGTTAATTAATCTTTTCTATCAGTATGTCTTTGTAGTATAAAAAACTATACAACTCTTTATTTTTTCCTTTTAACATTGTATTTATTGTTCTTGTAGCCGCTGGCTCAGGCATATGGTCTTGCCAAACATAGGGATGGTCGTTGGGAATGGGCCATAGCACCTGGTGTCTCTCCATCACCAAGATATCAACATGCAGCGGTTGGTTTTATTTTTTTCTCGTCCTTTTGAAACAGAACCCACTTGCATTTTATTTCTTTATTTTCACCTACATTTCATTTTTTCTAGGTTTTCGTAAATGCACGACTTCATGTATCCGGAGGGGCACTTGGTGGTGGCCGCATGGTAGAAGATTCATCAAGTGTAGCAGGTACTTCCATGTCTTCATAGATCTCAAACATGTGGTTCCTTCATGCTTAAGTGGTCACTCTATCCTTGGATTGTTATGTTTTTTCTTTTCCATCTTCTCTACCATTCTCTTCCTGTTTACTGCAGCCTTCATGTGCCATATTTCAGGGGATTTTTCCTTGTGTTGGTTCTAAACTCGTGTCATCACTTTTAAGCACACATAGCACCATATTGTTCCTCCTTTGCATTTGTAGAGTACTATATGAGATGTCCCAATGGATTTTGACTACTAGAATTTTATTTATTTATTTTTTTGTTTTTTGTTTTTTAAGATGTCCTTGTGCCTTGCCAAGGATTTCAAGACTAGATAGGCATAGTTACTAAGATGAGGGAAGGTATCAGTTTCCTGTCATTACACAGTCGTCTTCTACTGCTATAGATTGATGATTGTTGAACTCTTTATCAAAAATCTCATTTGTTTCTCCCTTGGTTCTCTTTTTGGTACTCTAGGGGTTTCTACCTATGATCCCATATCAATGCAAATATACAAATTATAGACTTGTCTATCAAAGTGGATCTCATAATATCACTTGAGCATGCATGGATTGTGATGACACAGATAAGTCAATGCAAAAATCATAGTTAAATTGACGGGATTCAGTGGTTTTGAGCAAAAGCTTTTGTGGAGGAAGGTGCATTATGTTTTTTATGAAGTTTTTGTCTTGAGACTGTGTACAATAATAAATTTGTGCAAGCCTTTGGAATAGAGGTGATATATTTTTTTTGGATAAAAAATAGTAAGGTTTTATTTGTCCAAGCCTTGGACTAGGGGTGGTATTCCTAGTTCAGCCCACAATTTTTTGGGCTTGGGCCCAATGCTTCTAGGCCTGGGTTGGTGTGGAGTTGTATTCATGTGTGTATGTGTTATTAACTTATTATATACATATCAGTGTCATTAATGCAGTGGGGCAATTATTAGCTTTTCTGCAATTATCAAAAAAAAAAGCATTTTTGCATCCCTAGTCAATGTGATGACTAGTTGGTGTCTAGGTGCTGACTGGTCGATTGCAAAAGATGTGTTCTAAATATAAGACATTGATTTGTATATATTATTCTTTCTTTATTAAAGCAATAAAGTGATGTTACTGATAAAAAAAATACAAGGCATTGTCATTCATAAGTTAATGTCATTACAAGAATGCAGTAAAAGAATGATATATAAAATTTGATTTACAATCTTTGTTTAGATAATATAGAAAAAGGCAGGCTGGGTGGGCTAGGATAGGGAATAAAGCGTTTGTTTTTCAAAGAAAGAGTGCAACCTTTGAGTATTTGGTTGCCCCTTTGTCTATGGCTACTTTTACCAGCATACAACTAATTGGAAGAACTCTAATCTTTTGTGAAGGGAATGAATAAAGGTTGGTAGGGCATTTGAAGAGTTTGGTGAAAAAATTTGAAGCTTTCTCGAATTTCAAAGTTTATTTTGAAAAGAGTTGCATTGTGAGGATTAATTAGGGGGATAGAGAACTAGATGCTATTGTAGAGAGGATTTAGTGTTCCATTTCTAGTTGGCCTGTGACCTACTTGGGGCTTCCTTTAGGAGCAAATCCTAAAGAGAGTAGTTTTTGGTTGCCAATTTTAGAAAGGTGTGCAGAAGACAGTAGTGTGGAAGAGGAACTACATATCTTTGGGTGGGAGAATTACTTTGATTAGATCAATTCTAGCAAACCTGCCATTATATTATTTGTCAGTGTTATGGATTCCATAGAAGGAAGCTAGGAAGATTGAGAAGGTAAGGAGGGATTTTCTAAGGGAACCAGGGGAGGAGAAAAAAGATCACCTATTGAGATGGAAAATCGTGACTAAATATCTAAAGGAGGGAGGGTTGGGTTTGGGTAATGTAAATAAAAAGAACTTTGCTTTGTTAGGTAAATGGATTTGGAGGTGGCCTTTGGAGAGGGACAGATTGTGGCACCAGGTGATTACTAGAATTCATGGTAGGATGAACTCTGGATGGGATGCAGGAGTTTCTCTTTGGGCTACCATGGCTTCACCATGGAAAGCTATTCATGGATTTCTTCCATAGTTTTCAAGGTGCCAAGGCGAGGCTAGGCGACAGGGGGGCACCTAGGCGTCGCCCAGGCGATGGATTTTTTTTTCAAGTAAAAACATGTATCCTAGGGTAGTTCCCTAGGTTCCATAATCATATTTCCTTAATAAATATGCATAATTTTCATAAGAAAAGTATAAACTTAATGTTAAAGTATAGAAAATCAACATATTCCAACATATTCATGAGAAGAAAAAGAAAGAAAAGAAAATTCAAAATATATAGGTGCTGAACCCCTATTTCTGTTATAGGAAAAGAAGAAGAAATTAGTATATAAAAACACAAAATTAGTAAAGAAAAAGAATAAAATGTGTTGRTTGGACAGCATTTTATGTTCTTTCTTACTTATTGGTTCAGGTTTTGAAGTCTTTAGGGTTCAATACAGCATTTAGCAATGTTTGTGTTGATTAGACCCTAACAAATAAGAAAATAACAAAAAGAAATTAGTATATAAACATACAAAATGAGTATTTTAGTTTAAAAATGTCTATTTTATAATTATAACCTCAAAAAATTAAGAATATAAAAGTTTGTTATAACACTCTATAGAAAACTGCTTGGCGATTAGGAGAGGCGAGACTCCAAGGGTGCCTTGTCGCCTAGGCGTCGCCTTGACAATTATGATTTCTTCACCAGTTTCTCAGCTTCATCAGGTATGATGTGTGTTCCAGGGAGGCTCTGTAGTTTTGGGAAGATCTTTGGGTTGGTTCCTCAACTCTTAAGGATCTGTTCCCTTCCCTTTACTCAGTTTCCTTGTACAAAAACAAGCGTGTCTTGGATTATATTGTTCCTCCTATCCTTACATTGAATCATAATTGGGATTTTGGTTTCTAAAGAGAGTTGAGGGATGCTGAAATGGTAGAGTTGAATGGGCCTTTGCAACTTCTTTACTCCATTTGCTTGGATCCTACCAAACCGGATAGCGTATCTAGGTTCCTCATCCTAAAGGTCTTTTTTCTTGTGCTTCTCTTTTCAACTCTTTTTGTTTGTCTTCTCCTCCTCAACCTTTCCCTACTAAAGAAGTGTGGTATTGGCCTGTCCCTACCAATTGGAGACTTTTGTTGGGAAGCGTACCATGGGAAGATCAACACTATGGGCTTTCTACAAAAAAGAAGACCCTTTTTATGCTTATCCCTACTGGTGCATCCTTTGTAAATCCAATGAAGAAAATTGTTACCACTTACTAATATCTTGTCCCTTGCTGCTAATATACGGGGTTGGCTTTTCTCTTTGTTTGGTTGCAGGTGGTCTTTGCCAACGGAGGTAGATAAGATTTTTGACCCTTGAACCTTTGTTCAGCCTAAAAGGAGTGGTAGGATTATGTGGAAAAGTGATAGAGCAGCAATAATATGAACTCTCTGGGAAGAAAGAATATAACAGAATTTTCTCAGAATGGGAGAGATTCATAGAAGCGATAATAGACTGCATATTGGTAAGAGTGATCCATTGACTTAGGACCATGGATTTTTTTCGTCTTGGTCCTATGATGATATTTGGGGAAATTGGGGGGTAGTGGTCAGAAGTTCTTCCAAAAAAGAAGAAAAGACTTTGTGGAAAACCCCAGTTGCAGACTTCGTAAAATTACATTTTGATGGGAGCAGTCAAGGCAATTCAGGCCCTTGAGGCATTGGGGGGGGGGTGCTGAGAAATAAAGAAGGGATTATCATTGCACTATTTTCCATTCTAGTGGGAGTGGGGGATTCCATTAGGGTGGAATTGTTTGTGGCTATGAGAGGGCTACAGATTGCAAGTAATATAGGCCTAATAAATGTGGAGACTGAAGGGGACTCAAAAATGGTGATAGGGTGGCTGAAGGATCCTGAGTCTATTGTTTGGTGTTTTAGGGATGAGATGAGAAAGTTTAAAATTTTAACCAGAAACATGAACTTGAAAATCTCTTGGGTTAGGAGAACAGCTAATGATATGGCAGATGGTTAGCTAAACAAGGGGTCAATAGGGACAGTTTGCATTGGGCTCAGCTGTAATTGTTTTTGGTACTTTTATTATCAAGTTTGTGTGAGAGTGCCTCTCTGTGGGATGCTTCTAATGCTTATTCTCTTGATATTTAATAAATACTTGTTTACTTATCTAAAAAAAACTCTTCCACTGTTTTCTCTTATTATTGCCTTATTCATTTTATATACCATCAACCATTCATGTGCAATTAAAATGCTTAAAGTAATTAGAATAAATGTACCAAATAAAAGTATATATGATTTTATTTTAACTAATTACAGATAAACACAAACAAATAAAATTTTAAAATGACTTTGTTTGACTAGGTTGTCTAGTTGACCTAGTTAATGCCGAGTCATCCCAAGTGAGCATATCATGTGTATTGACCAATTAGTTTGTGTTTGTTGACTAGTTGACCCCTTCCAAATGAGTGGGTTGCAACATGAATGAATTTTTATTACCTTATTTCCTGTTGCTTGGTACTCGACCCTATATGATTCTGTTATTTTCCACTCAACAATACCTTCTGATCTATCTATTTCATTACTTGGAAGGCCATGATATTGAACTTATTGTGTTTTTAAATAAAATAAATGGGCCTAAATCCCAAGTTTTTCTATGGAATTACAGATAGAAGATGTAATATTTCACATCTTCTGTTATTTTGTTCTTTCTATTTTCTCTTTTATAAAGCAGGTAAAGGATTCTTTTCTTATTACAATTGTTGATTCTGTACAATCATCTTACATGTACAATGTTTCTCTTTGTAGTGCTGGATACTGCAGCTGGAGTCTGGTGTGACACAAAATCTGTTGTTACTAGTCCCAGGACGGGTAGATATAGTGCTGATGCAGCTGGAGGAGATGCTGCAGTTGAATTGACTAGGCGTTGTAGGCATGCAGCAGCTGCTGTTGGTGACTTGATTTATATTTATGGAGGTCTACGTGGTGGTAAGACATGAAACTGATAAGTGGTAGTATCCACAATACAACTACTAATTGATTGCTAATGTGCAAACACCTTTAGTTGCAATTTCCATTATGGTTATTTATGTAGCCATGAACCCATTAAGTCAACATTGTTACTCCAAAGTGAGCTGTTGCATTTCCAAGGATAAGCAGGAATAACTCTGGATATCCTATATCACTATTGCTTTGAAGATACTCTAATTTCATGTTTGTATTTTTATGTTTTATTCTAACTTGTCACAGAACTTGGAGCTTGAGAAATTGTGAATATATATACCTAATGTTGTGCACCATTGTGGTTTATCTGTTTTCATTACTAGGATTTACAATTTTTTTGTGGCCCTCAACTCTAGGTGGTAGTGCATATCTGATATGTCAGTTCAGATGTGGGTTAGAAGGCTTAGGAACTCTTGAGAGGAATTTTGCCCTTCATCAATAGAAAGAAAGATTATGTGGAGACTGGAGATGTACTCTTGTTGTTTTTTGACCATTTTTGAGGAGAGTAATTTTAGGATATTTGCCAACAGAGTTTGATCATTATAATTACAATTTTCCTTGATTACCTTCAGAATTGCCTGTTGGATTACAGCAGGAGATGAGTTCATAGGTATCTTGATACATTATGCCATTAAAGTATGGAGTATAGATTTCACTATTCTATCCACTGGCAGAGAGTTGCATGGGAGAGGATCCTTTTCTTAGGGACGACACCTGAGGTATTGCAGATACAACATATATGAATATACTTGCTTACTAGAATATATACAGGGACACAAGGTTATTCCAAGCTATATGCATTTGGGAAAGTACCATTGGCAAAGCTCTAAAAACCCCAATTTTTTTTTTAGGGATTAAGAGTTTAAGACCCTAATATGAACTTATTTGGGTTTGCCTTGAGGGGTTTGGTACAAAGGTAGGTCGTAGAATCAAGAGTGCATAATTTTTAACATCACATTAGCTATTTGAAGTAATGCAATTGGGAAAAAGAATAAAGAGATTGAGAGCTTACATTCTTGAATTTATTTTATATGTTATGCGTGATTTTATTTTTAAATTTCCATTTTAAATATGTTTTACATCTTATGTTTATGTATTTTAATTTGAGATAATAGGTTTAAAATTTAAGTTTATATTCGTAATATTTCAATAATTTGCATTTTATTTTTATTTATTTTTGTTTTTTTTAAGATTTTTTTGGCATTTTGTGCCTTGCTTCAAAAAGGCACACACCTTGCCTTGCAGTGCAAAATGGCCCTTGCACTTTTTTGCGCCTTTCAATTTTAAAACACTGCGTAGACCCTTTTTGGGTCCTAAAATAGCCAAGAAATACACACTTTGTAGATCGTTCATCCAATTTGTCCATCCCAAGCCCTAGATTATGAACAAAACAAACACAACCAAAAACCCTGGGAGTGAGAGGAAAAGAAGATAAAGTAGGAAATAAAACTAGGAAGGGAACATGATGCAAGTACATTACTCCAAAAACGCTTGGGAACACTCACATGATGCAAAAGTGACTGAGCAATCTCAAGTAGATGACGATTCTTTTGTTCAACCACTCCATTTTATTGTGGGGGTGTAAGCATAGCAAGTTTGATGAATAATGCTGTGTTGTTCCAAATATTGCTGAAAAAAGTGTGTAGAAGTACTCTGCCATTATCAGAACGAAGAGTTTTTATGCAAGCACCATCCTTTCCACCTTTAAGATCCCAGTGAAAATAGATAGTAAGTTGGAGAAGATTATGGGGGATTTTTTGTGGGAACCTGGCGATGAAAAGAAGGATCTTTAAGTGAAGTGGGAGCAAGTTTGTTACCCTAAGGAGCAGGGTGGCCTAGGTATAGGGAACATTTTGAAGAAAATAAGGCCCTTCTAGGGAAATGGTTGTGGAGATTCCCTTGTGAAGAAGATAGGTTGTGGCATAGGGTCATTAAAAGCATTCATGGTGAAGCATGTAACGGTTGGGATGCAAAACTAGCTTCCAATGCATCTCCAAATTCTCCCTGGAAGGCAATCTTTGAGGTATTATCAACCTTTCTTCAATTTATCAGGTTTGATGTTGGTTGTGGCAATAAAGTCTTATTCTGGGAAGACGTTTGGGTTGGGAATGTCCTTCTTATGGTTAAATTCTCGGACCTCTACTGCTTTTCAAACCATAAAAACAAACCTGTTGCTAGGTTTGCTTTGCTTTTAGATTTGGGTATGTCTTGGGATTTTGGATTCAGAAGAGGGTTGAGGGAAAATGAATGTGAGTCTCTAGTGCTTTTGATCTCAACACTTGAGAGGGTCTACTTGGACCAATCTATAGCTGATAGTAGAGTTTGCTCCTCAACTTTTGATGGGTTATTTTCCTGTGCATCTTTCTTTGGTTTGCTCACTTACACTGGTCCTATGAGGGTGAACTTCCTAGTGAGAGAAATCTGGTGTAAACCGATCCCTCCAAAAGTACAAGCTTTCTGTTGGGAAGTGTTCCTAGGGAAGGTAAACACTTGTGATGTGCTACAACCTACAGAAAAGGAGGCCAAACAATTGCCTCTCTCCTCGTGTGTGTATCCTTTGTATGGATTGTGGTGAAACCCTAACCCACTTACCTTTATCCTGCTCTTTTGTTTCTGGTATTTAGAATGTTGTTTGTTCTCTCTTTGGATGCAGATGGGTTCCCCCACAGGATGTGGTAAGCCTTTCCAGCCCCTCCTTCCTGAGACAACGGAAGAAAAGTGGAAAGTGCTTATGGAAGGCAGCAAGGGCAGCTACAATATGGGCTATTGAAGCCATAAAAATCAGAACTATACATTGGGTGAAGACCATGGAGCTATTCAAAAGTTACTCCACGAATGAGATTCTAAGAAGGTGGGCTGAAGTAGCACAAGCAGATGCACCCAAAGTAATTGTGAGTGTGGAAAGGAAGCCACCGACGCTGAACAAACTAAAACTAAACTTTGATGGGAGTTCTTTTGTTAACCCAGGAAGGGTAGGCATAGGGGGTGTGTTTAGAAATCATTTGGGTGTGGTGGTGGCACTCTTCTCAGTACCAATAGGTATTGGTGACTCAATATAGGCTGAACCTCTAGCCCTGCTTCAAGGTCTAAAGATGGCTGAGCAGATGGGTACAACAGACTTGTAAATAGGAGACTCACTACTGGTCATTTCTTGGGCTAAAAATATCACATCAGTACCTTGGAAGCTCAGAGTTATCTTCAGAGAAATTGACATACTCGCAAGGAGGATCAACTCTCAGTTTGTTTGGGTCAAACAGAATGCAAATGGGATGGCAGATACCCTAGCAAAACAAGGGGCAAATAGATCTTCTTTGTACTGGGCAGAATTGTAGTTGATTGCAAGTGGTTGTAGATTAGATTAATGCTTCTCTGCAACCTTTAACTATTGTAACTGATTTTCTCTGTTTTAATTAAAAATTTTCTTGCTAATAAAAAAAAACACCAGATACCCTAACAAAACAAGGGGCAAATATATCTTCTTTGTACTGGGCAGAATTGTAGTTGATTGCAGTGGTTGTAGATTAGATTAATGCTTCTCTGCAACCTTTAACTATTGTAACTGATTTTCTCTGTTTTAATTAAAAATTTTCTTGCTGATAAAAAAAAAACACCAAATAGAGTGTGGATTTCAGCATGAAAATTTTGGAAGAAATGGAAAATAATTCACTCATTTCTTTCATAAGATAAGGCCATGTCATCCTTTTATAATCATCAACAAAAATTACAAAATACTTGTAACTGTTGTACAACACAATTTTATTTGGACCCCAAATATCTGAATGAACCAAAGCAAAAGGACTCGACATACGACTATCACCTCTAGGATTGAAGGAAACTCGATGATGTTTCCCATATTGACATGAGTCACTCCAAAGTAGAAAGATGACTCAATGATGGAACGAGTAACTTAAGTGCCTTGTGAGACGGATGACCAAGCCTACAATGCCACTAGAGGGGAGAAAGAGAAGACTGAAAAGCTATTGTCGAACCACTGCCATCAAGATAATACAATCTTCCAGCCTCATGCCCTCCACCAATCTTCATTCCTGTCTTGAGATCCTGAAAAACACAAGAAGAGGGGTAAAAAATGATAGAGCAATTAAGAGACTTCGTCAATTTACTAACAGATATAAGATTGAGTAGGAATTTGGGTACACACAATACTAAGGATAAAGGTAATGAATTAATGTTAACATTACCAACACCACAAATAGAAGATGTAGAACCATTAGCAAAGGTAATTGTTTGGTATGTAGGAGACTGAGAAGGGGAAGAAAACACACTTGGAGTTCCAATCATATGACTGGAAGCTCCAGAATCGATAATCCAATTGGAGGGTTTGGATGCTAGACAAGTCGTGCCTGAGTGGGCAACAAGGTTCAAAGTATCGATACGTATCGGCCCGTATCGGCCGATACATATCGTCTCGGGACCCCTCCTATATGCCCCCATAGTGGGTGTATCGGGGGTTTGACCGGTTCAGGGGGTGGAGGAACCCTAAACCGCTCTCGAACCGGTTTCAAAAAAAAAAAGAAAGTAAAAAAAATAGTATTGATTTACCCGATACGCCCACGTATCGATATTTTGAACCTTGGTGGGCAAGGGTAGCGGTATTTTGCTATAAGGTAACCTGAAGAAACCGCTCATATTCGTCATGTGGAACACTCATCATTTCTTTCCTAGAAGCATCTGTAGATGTAAAAGGTGTCTGATCAACTTGCTGAATTTCATCTCTTGTACTACCACCACTTGTAAACCACATGATTGGTCCACGTAGAGGGTGGCCCACATAGATCATAACAGAAATTAATGGTGCAACCATTACTATGTCCTCTACCACGACCTCCCCCTTGAATCTCTACCTCCATTACACCCACCACCATGGTTAAGCGTAGAACCACCATCATGACTTGTCTGAACTCCCTAGTCTCCTCCCCTCTTGTCATTGCAAATAGGGGTGTTTGTGGTCTGGTTTGGTGCAGTTTGGAGAATTTCTCAAACCAAACCAATAAATTATGGTTTGGGAAATTCTTAGACCAAACGAAACCATTTTATTATGGTTTGGTGCGGTTTCTAATACGGTTTGGGGACTTTGTACCATTCTATGCTTTACTTAGACTACAAAACTAGTATAGAAAAATAATTAATTAACAAAACAAGAATAACATAGATATCAATATCAATAGGAGAATAACTGAATAACATCATAAACGATAGATTTTGACAAATTCAAAGTTGACAAAACAAGAATTCATATATATCTTTTCTTCATATTTAATCTGACCAAACCAAGCAAGTATGTAAATATGTTAATAATGAAGTATATTAACAATAATGACCTAAACAATTTTGAAAATAGGAACATTAGAACAATTAGTGATTTAAAAGGCATGCCTAAGGTGCACCTAGGCGCACAAGTGAGGCGCATTTTGGGGTATGTGCCTTGCCTAGGTCTTAGGCACACCCCTTTCAAAAGACGCACGCCTGGTGCACCTAGGTGTGCGCCTGATGCACCTTGCGCCTTTTAAAATTTTGCGCTTTTTACTTTTTTTTGAGTCTAACGGCTGGGCCCCCGACCATGCCCCTCGAGGCAAGTCCGAACAAGTCTATATTAGGGTCTGAAATTCTTATTTCTCTCATAAAAATAATGATTTTATAACTTTCATTGCCTTTTAAGAAGATATTTTATTGGAATGAATGAATGAACAACATTAGCAAATAGGGGGTTCTCCTCTGCTATGGTTACCATATTTTCAAATTTGTGAAACCAAAACCAAACTGTTATGAATATAGACCCGAACCAAATCACAAATTTGGTTTGGTTTTACGGTTTGAACCGTATAATGAACACCCTTAACCACAAAGGCAGACCTATCAAAGATAGTAGAGCTCTTTGAAGGTCCAAATAGAAGTCCTACGGAGACGAGCAAACACCTCTTCAAGGGAGGGAAGAGCAGAACTGCCTAATATTTGTGCTGTCATCGGCTTTCCACTAAAAATCTGGTCACATCAAATTGTTCCCTTTGTTGTTGCTAAATTTTGACATCAGATGTAAGGGAATGATAGACATTCAACTCACTCCGAAGATTTCTCATAATGGCATAATAATACTCCTAGGCTTTGATTTCCCTACTACAGATTAAAGTACTCTTGGTAAAGTTGGTATACTCTCATAGTATTATTTTGTCCAGAATAAAGTTTCTTAGCATGCTCTCAAATCTCCTTGGTATCTAAAAACATAAAATTCACACTAATTTTGGGTTCTATGCTATTCCACAATCATGTAGTTTGTGCATTTTCTTGTTCCCACTCACTGTACTCTTGAGAATCAACTAAGGGTTTGTCATCTTTCACGTGTTTCACCTTCTTAGCCGCAAGGAAGACTTCCGCTGACTTAGCCCAAGGCACATAGTTGCCACCATTCCATTTGATAGAGGTCAGTTGAAAATTCATATAATTAGGGAGAATCATAACACTGGATTTGTGTTCACTACTGTCCTCTGTGGTTGCCATGGGTTTGAAAAAAAACAAGCTGACTATTACATAAAAACCAACTGTGCACTATCTGTCCACTACACAGCCCTCTTCGATTCATCATTTAGAGGGTTTCTAGCAACCACCTTAAACACCTACTTTAGCACCAACTGGAGGCATGAAAACCTCCTAAACAGAGAAACGGCTACTCCTTTCTGTTATCCTTTTGATTCTCCAAAGGATCAATGTGATCTCTTCAGAGCAGTAAGGTGAGAGGCGATGAAAAATTTTGGATTGATCTCTGGACTGATTACCAATGCTCTGACACCATGTTATTGATTCGATTGGCACTGGTTTCAGTCCTAGAATGAGAGAGAAAGAGAGTAGAAGAAGCAGGAGAGAGAGAGAGAGAACCCTTGGTTCAATCTAGAGAGAACTCAAATCTAGTCTCTCTAGTTGACCAGGCTGTATTTATATGCTTCTAATATGAAATACAATAACAGTTACATCCCTAATTAAGTATGGGACATAACACTTAAAAGTGAGACATAAAAAACATCACACTAATCATTTAAAATAAGGCAAAAAGGACCAAACTACCCTTTGACAGCCGACTCTTAACACCTATAAGCTAATCCTCCTTTCAAGTCTCTTTAATATCCTCAACTTCCCTGCTTTCCTTTAAACTACCACCCTCAATCTTTCCAGATTCCCAACTCCTTAAAAGCTTTTCTTGCAAATTGCTCCTCTTTTCAATTGACCATACTTAATCAAGCAAAATTTCATCTTTCTACTCTTCAGCACCTTCTACAGAATCTACACTAGCTTCATCTTCCAAACTTGCTCCATTGATGTTTGTTTGCCTCAGTTCTTTTGATTTCTCACTTTACTTCTCATCTGCTTCCTCTTATTAGTCCTTTTGATTCTATTGCAAGGGCCTGCACCAATAATGACATCCTTCAACTGTGATAAGACTTTGGTTATGTGCACTAAATTACCATTAAATGCTCCTTTTACGTTTCTTTATAGGCATGAGACAACTTTATTCATCGTTGTTAAACTTTACCCGCTTCTGACACTAGTCCGAACTTAGTTTTCCTATAAACACCTCTTTAACAGATCCATCAGAACCTCTTTCTGCACCATCAAACTCACCTTTTAAACTACTGAATATACTCTTTCTTATCACTCCTCACTCCCAACCAAATCATCAGTCTGTGCCATCATCATTACTTACAGCTTCTGACAAACCATTTATCTCATCAATGTTGAGATGACTTTGAACACCATTTTCTGCCTCAAATCTTCGAGTTTCTCTACCCTTTGAAAACAAAAAGTACCTTTCTTTGTACACCATGACCTGATCTGCTAAGCCATCCTCATCCTCAATTCCATCCTCTGACTTCTGCCCCTCATCTTCAATGAATGCAACATTGTTTCATCCTCTTTAGATGTAGACTCCCCCACATTCAGCCACCTCTTCAACAAGAGGGTGCACAAAGGCCACATTTTCTGACTCGCCATCCTTGATATTTTGAGGTTTCTCATCTGAACCTTTCCTGACCCTGCACTTATCAGATTCCCTTTCCCCAGCCAATAAAATTGTTGCTTTTTGTGGACTTTCCATCTGAGACTCGTAAATGAACCTGGTAATTACCCATTCTCACCTTTCAAAATTGCTTCACACACTTCTTCCTCTGAAAAGGGCTTTTCTAATTCTAATGCCAATCTGTTCAGTTGTAACTCGTCCTGCCTTGGCCTTCTTGCTTTTCTAAGGCTGGTGTAGATAATGCATTTATAATGTCTCCATTCTGAATGATGGGACAACCCATCAAAATTGGGCTTGACTGCTTCCAGGTCTAGCTCTGTGGATCACTCTCTTGAACATTTATCTTATCCTGCACCTTTTTTGAAATTAATATAGTTTCTTTGTTGCGAGTTATCAATAAGTGAATATGGTGGACGGAGCTTTATTACCGAATCAGATTGAGGTGTCTTTATACATTTTTATTTTACTTTGTATCCTAAAATGCCATTGCTTGGTGTAATGGAAATTTCAGGCTGGCAACACATGAGAGTGCAGGTTTGAGTTTAAATTTTGAAAGATGGAAAAAATCTAGAGTTTTGGTTCATAGTTCCATATCCAGTCCACCCCACCTAAGACCCCAGACAACTGTGACCAACATTGGGTAAATGGCGTTTTGTACCCTAAGGTGCTTTCTTGAGGGCTGATTGGGAACGATTATCTGTTGTGGGTGGAATTTTTGCATAGGAGGGCAAATGAGATCCATTTGTCCAAATTCAAATTCAGATATGATTTGATTAAGGTGATCTGAGTTTGATCTGTTTCTAATTGGGTCAAATATGGCTCCATTCAGAGTTATCTGATAATATGTAAATATATATGCTTACATCTACATAAAATTAATATGTATCTATTAGTAAAGTTGATTTGAATATTGTGCTTTTATTAAATTCATAGGTTAAAATGTCTTAGAAGGTATTTTTTAGTCACATTATTCATGAAGTTTTTCATTTTAAGTTCATTTTATTAATAATTTATAATATTCTAATCAATTTCGTTATAATTTACTAATTGAATTCAATATATGATTTCAACTCGTCTCCAATCAAAATTCGATGGATAAGATTCGATTGGAATCTAAATGTTAACAGGTCAAATTTGGATATATCTGGTTTAATCTGATCTGTTTGCTGCCCTTTTTTGTATGTTTTGTAGTTTTTTTGTATTTTTGCTTCTTTCATTGTTAATAATATTGTTAGATACCAAGAAGAAAAATTTTACTGTCATCAATAGGGAAAGGGACGAATGAAAGAAAACTATCATTTTTAACAGTGGTTGTTTTCCCTTTGCAAGTTCCTTGATTTGGTCATGAGATGTAAAATATTATTACATCTCTCCAGAAGAATGCTTTAAAGTTTAAACCAATAGGCAAGCAAAATGGGTTTTTATATTGCAACCTAATAGTCATACAATTAATATTTTCTTCTAGAATTCTCGGCACCCTCTAACTGGTTTTCTAAGTTAGTTTATGATGTTTCTCATGCTGGAATTTGGAATTAGACATTACTATCTGTTTGCTTGTGCAAACACTGTTGTCTGTGTGTGGGTTTGTCTATGTTAAAATAAAACTAATTGATCTATAAATATGATGATATTGTAGCATATTTTCTGAAATTGGATATTGTGCCATAGGAGTGTTGCTGGATGACTTGCTTGTTGCTGAAGATCTGGCTGCTGCTGAAACGACAAGTGCAGCTTCACATGCAGCAGCAGCAGCTGCTGCAACCAATATACAAGCGGGAAGATTACCTGGGAGGTACTTTGATGATAGAACTAGGCAAACAATTCCTGAAGCAGTTCCTGACGGTGCAGTTGTTCTTGGAAGCCCTGTTGCTCCTCCTGCAAATGGGGACATGTATACAGATTTAAGCACCGAAAATGCCATGCTTCAGGGACCCAGGTAAGCCACCATATATACAACTAGATAGATATCCTCAGTTTTAAATGGTGAAATTTTACCTTTCAGTCTCGGGCACTTATTCTAGATGATACTTCAGGAGACTGAGCAAAGATGTTGACTACTTGGTCAAAGCCTCGGCAGCAGAAGCTGAAGCTATTAGTGCTGCATTAGCTGCTGCAAAAGCACGCCAAGTTAATGGAGAAGTTGAGCAAATGCCAGAGAGGGATCGTGGGGCAGAAGCAACTCCGAGTGGGAAACAGATATCCACCCTGATAAAAACGCCCGATTCTTCTTTGTCAAATAACAACCCTCCTGGCGTTCGGCTGCATCATAGAGCTGTCTGTATTAGAAATCCATTTCTGTTTCACCTTTTTTTTCTGCTCCAGTTTATTGTTCTTTTTCATTATCTAGCTGGCGTGAAAGTGCTATTTTTAGTGACTCATTTTAGTTTGGTCAATTCTTTTAACTCTACAGGTAGTGGTAGCTGCAGAGACTGGTGGAGCTTTAGGTGGTATGGTCAGACAACTTTCAATTGATCAGTTTGAAAACGAAGGCAGGCGGGTGAGCTATGGTACTCCAGAGAGTGCAACTGCAGCTAGGAAATTATTAGATCGGCAAATGTCTATCAATAGTGTCCCGAAGAAGGTAAGTTGGTACCTCAAGTATAATCGAGCATTTTAAAACGCCTTTTGGAATATATATGTGTTTTATTTTCTGCCTGGTTACTTATTTCTTGTTTTTAATGTTAATTGTTTTCAACAGTATTGGACACTCAATTCTTACACCAACACCTACAATTTCATGTTGCAGTATTAAATATATTAAATATTTTACTTTCTTGAAGTTGGTTCTTGTTCAGTTATAAGATGTTCATTGTTTCTAACCTATTTTGTATATTGGGCAAGGACTTGTTAGCTTGCTGTTTTTGTGTTTGTTATTTTGCTAGTGTTTGTTGTTCACTACTATTTGTTATTGGTGGTGGGGATTCTTTTTTACATTAATAAAATCTCTTTGGTTGTTGTTAGGTATAAAAATTAATGGTAAATAAACTTGGTGATCTTGTTCTTATGTACCCATTTTTTGGCTTTTTGGAATTAATGGTACCAGTTATTTCATTGGCTACTGAGTTGTCACACAGGCTTTTCCTTTTTTGAAGTCTTGATTCAATCTCTTAATTTTCAGGTGATAGAACATCTTCTGAAGCCTCGTGGTTGGAAGCCTCCTGTCCGTAGGCAATTTTTCTTAGATTGCAATGAGATAGCAGATCTTTGTGATAGTGCAGAACGAATTTTTGCAAATGAACCTAGTGTGCTGCAAATAAAGGCTCCTGTCAAGATTTTTGGTGATTTACATGGACAATTTGGGGATTTAATGCGCCTTTTTGATGAATATGGTGCTCCTTCAACTGCAGGAGACATAGCGTAAGTAATTCTATGTTTAGATATTTTACATGTCTTTCAGTTGATAATTATGTCTCTTTTATATAGTGATATCTTGTGCGGTGCTATATTCTAGTAATTTTTCATAGAGTAATCGTGATCGGTATTTTAAATGGCAAATTTCTTAAAGTACCCCTAAGGTTTAGCTAATTGACCAACTCTATCCCTACTGTTTGACTATTGTCTTAAAGTATCCCTACTGTTTCTGACAATTGACTAGCTCTACCCCTGTCGTTAACATCCGTTAATGTTCCGTCAAAATCCATATACACGTGACACCACATGACATATAAATATTTTTAAAACCCAATACTATCTTCCATCCCTTTTCTCTTCACTTCCCCTGTTCCTTCTCTTCAACCTTCTCTTCTTTGACAGCAACACCACCAGCTGTCATTGCCCGTGCTCAGGAGCAGAAGGAAGCTGCCCTTGTTGAATTCGAGAAAACAGGAACTGCAAATCTGGGTCTGGCAGAAGCTCTCAGGTCTTATTGTCAAAATATACTTGTTCATGGCAGTAACGGTGGCGGCGGCAGTTTGGTGAAAACTGTACAGGATATGATCAGAGATCTGAAAAAACACCTCTTCTGCGCTCGAGGTGAAAATTGCAAAAGAGTGAAAGTGCAAAAAAAAAGATCTGTACCTCTGTAGATACTGGAGGGGGGAAAAATAAAAAATTGCCGCTTGAAGTTGCAGCGGCGATGTCGTTGACACGAAGAGAGACATGTCAACGCAGCTAGATGCTTTTGAGATTCATTTAGCTTCCCACACACCCAATTCCTTTGTGCTGTTGAACAGAGAAACCTTACATAAGTACTCTGTCGAAGGATTGAGATTTGATATGAAAAATCTCTTCTCTGGCCTGAGGACAATGCAAGTGGACTTTTTTTGATAGTTGATCACATTGGACCTTTGATGCCAAAGTCTGCAACCTAGAAAGTCCTCCAACAGCTTATCTTCATATTCCAAAATAATGACAATGGTGGTAGTTGATGGTTCTTCAAATCGGATCAGACAAGCTGATGAACAGCCCAGACTTAGCATCAATGCAGAAACAGAGAAACTAACATTGAAAAGATTAAGCAATGATTGATAAAAAAACTTACTTGGTTGTCCTTTTTCTTGGTTTGTTTTCAATTTAGTATTTTTCCAGCTTCAACCGATCTTGTCTCCTTAACCCAGGAAGAGTATAACAGGTTCTTCTATGTATATTTGAGGGAGGAAGAATAGCCAAAGCAGGTTACGGTATCGGCAGGACAGTGCAGAGAGGTTTCTAAGGAACATTGACGTTCAGATTCACAGAAATCTCTGGTACTTCAATCCCTTTACAACGCATTTAGCCAATAGTTCCTTTAAAGACAATAAAAAGCATAAACAATTGAAGAACGCAAAAGAGGAAGCTTGATAGGAGCAGAAAAGAAAAAAATCAAGTTAGAGAGATGAATGAACACACAGCAGAAAAGAAAAGATAGAAATCAGAATAAGAAAGAATGGAGTGACCCAAACACAACATATGAGTTGATAGTAGAGAAAGGCCGAAAGAAATATAGTCGGAGGCATGCCCCAATAGCTCACAATCATCTTCTCCTCCGGGCGATTGGCACCACCAACGGTAGAACTGGTTCTCACACCCTTCTCTTCTTTGTTGTTCAAAGTTGAGGTACTCCGTTACGTACACCCAGACTGGGAAACCTGATCCAAGTTCGCCCCGGCACAGCAGACCGGCTGGAAGGAGTTGGATTTTGTTTTGAAAATTTGAGAAACAGTAGAGGGCAAATTTGAGATTTTATTTTTTTCTGTTACGATTTTATGATGACAACAATTGCCAGAAACAGTAGGGGTACTTTAAGACCATACTGAAACAGTAGGGGTATAGTTAGTCAATTTCCTAAACCTTGGGGGTAGTTTAAGAAATTTGCCAACCCAACCTGGTTTTTCCCCTTCAGGCGGCAGCTTACTGGTTCATAGGTCAAAGCCATGATTTCATAAATATAAATACTTAAGAATACAAAAAGTTGAGAGAAAAACATCAATTACATACTTAATGGTTTAACTCAGATCATTTGAATATTTGATGTGTTAACTCATCAACTAATGATTAGAAGTGTATAAAATGCCATAAGCCAACCAGGACAAAGGACTCCATGGTCCTACTGATCACGATAAAACATGTGTCATAAGCAACACTGCATAATATTAAGATGCAGGGTACAGATCCATTTTCAGGTATTACATGAATTTGTATGTGTTAGTGTCGAGTATGCAGGGGTATTTCTGTCTTTGTGCTTATGGTTAGGTGCTGATGTGTAAGTTTATGTTAGATCTAATGTCCCTAACTTAAGTAGGGGCACATGTGACTTTTCCACAATATTTTAGTAATATAAAACAGATCTGGCCGAATGGGAGGGTTTACTTTCCTCTCATTCGAACCAGACCTTTTCCTCCTTGTCCTCTCTTCTACACTTCTCCTTTCTCTCTTTGTCTCTTTGTCTCTTCTTTCTTTTCCTTGACTATTATCAGTCAAATAGGCAGGCTGAACTCTAATATGGTATCAGAGCTAAACTGAGCAAATTGGATCTGCCCAGAATTCTGTTCTCTGCACACCCAGTCTAGGGTTTTCTCTTGCTTTCTTTGCCATCAGTTGGAGATAAGGGAAAGGGCTGAAAAGGAGTGATCACGTTCTTCCCTTGGAGGTTTCTATGCCTCCAGTTGTGGTGTTTGTGGTCGGTTGCTGCAGTTTCTAAGAAGTCCTCCCCTAATCGATGAAGAGAAGAGTTCTGATTCATGTGGTGTAGTGGGTGCTTTGTGTAGTCTGATTTTTGGGTGTCAGGCAAGATGTTCTTTGCATTTTCGTGGTGTGAATTAAATGACAAGTCTGTTTCAGATGGTATGGTGGGATTTCAGATTGTAGTGTGCTAGGGTTTGTGCAGTTTTCATTGTGATTCGAAGGGGAAGTATTCATCAAACAGTGTGGTGAAGTTTCAGGTAGTCGTGAGGTAGGGTTTGTGGTGTAAAGAGTGAGGTTTACAACAATAGTATGTGCTGAAATCAGTGTGTAGTGTGGTCTAGTGTGTCGAATTCAGCAATACCAGAATTCAGTAATGGGAGACGGTAGTGATAGCAAGACTAGTGTGATGGTTCCTACTGACTACCTAAATGTTCAAATGACCTCCATTAAGCTGAATGGAGAAAATTATGTACCTTGGGCTAAATCTGTAGAAGTCTTTCTTAAGGCAAAGAAGAAGGTGAAACACATAAGAGACGAAAAACCCTCCACCGATTCTCATGAGTATGATGATTGGGACAAGCAGATGCACAGGTTATCACATGGTTATGGAATAGTATGGAACCCAAGATTAGTGTAAATTTCATGTTTGTTGATACTGCCAAAGAAGTGTGAGACTATGCTAAGAAGCTGTTTTCGGGCCAAGACAACACAACTAGAGTATATCAGTTGTATCAAGAATACCTTAATCTACAACAGGGTAATCAGAGTCTTGAGGAGTACTATGCTAGTATGAGAAACATTCGTAATGAATTGAATGTTTATTAGCCCCTCACTTCTGATGTCAAAATTCAGCAACACCAGAGGGAACAACTTGATGTGACTCGATTTTTGGTGGGGTTGAAATCTGAGTATGAACCAGTGCGGGCTCAGATACTAGGAGGGTCAGCTCTCCCTTCCTTGGAAGAGGTGTTTACTCGAATTAGGAGGATTTCCATTGGATATACCGAGAACCCTAATGTTTCCGATGGATCAGCCTTTGCAGTATCTAGAGGCYGTGGTGTTAGAGGTGGAGCTCGGGGAGCTCAGTCTGGTCGTAGTGGCAACAGTGGACCGGCATATGGCCACTGTAGTGGTAGTGGACCTGCATATAACCGTGGTGGTGGTCGTATTGGAGGTCGAGATTTAGGGGGAGCCCGTGGTAGAGGACGTAGTTTGGGTCCGAGGAGGTGTACACACTGTGGTATGGATGGACATACCATTAATTATTGCTATGACTTGTGTGGTCCTCCCTTAACTTGGGCCAGTCATGCCGTGACTAGTGATAGTAGCTTCAGACAGGAGAGTCATTCAACTGATCAGATACCTTCTACATCCACAGATGTTACTGGGAAGGAGATGATGAGTGTTCCCCATGATGAGTATGAGAGGTTTGTTCAGGCCACATCTCAGCAGAACACGACCACTCTTGCACACTCAGGTATGGCTTGTCTGGCATCCACACCCAATCCCTGGATTATTGATTCTGGAGCCTCCGATCACATGACTGGAACTCCAGGTGTGTTTTCTTCCCTCTCTCATTGCCTAACATCACAATTTGTCACCCTTGCTAATGGTTCCACATCTTCTATTTGTGGTGTTGGTAATGTTAACATGGACTCTGTATCCTTATCCCAAGTTTTTATGTCCCTAAATTACCTTTTAATCTTATGTCAGTTAGTAAGTTGTCGAAGTCTCTTAATTGTTCTATTACCTTTTACCCCTCTTTGTGTGTTTTTCAGGATCTTAAGACGGGGATGAAGATTGGTGGAGGGCATGAAGTTGGTGGATTGTATTATCTTGATGGTGGTGGAAGTACGTCAATGGCTCTCCAATCGTCTCTTTCTCCTCTAGTGGCACTGTAGATTTGCTCATCCTTCACTGAAAGTTATGAAGTCTTTGGTTCCTTCATTGAATCATCTGTCTATTTTGGATTGTTAGTCGTGTCAGTTGGGGAAACATCATTGTGTTCCCTTAGTCCTAGAGTTGATAACCGTATGTCGAGTCTTTTTTCTTTGGTTCACTCGGATATTTGGGGTCCTTATAAAGTAATGTCATACAATGGATATAAATATTTTGTCATTTTTATTGATGATTATTCAAGGATGATGTGGCTCTATTTAATGAAAGAAATGAGTGAATTGTTTACCATTTTCCAAAAATTTTATGTTGAGATTCACAACCAATTTAGTGTTCACATTAAAATTTTTTGTTTCGATAATGGCCGTGAATATTTCTCTTCATCATTTCAAGAACACTTATACCAATATTGCATTATCCATAAGACTTCTTGTACCTACACCCCACAACAAAATGGGGTGGCTAAGAGAAAGAACCGCCATCTTTTGGAAATAGTTCGATCCCGCATGCATCACATGAATGTCCCCAAATCTTTTTGGAGTGATGCAGTGCTTACTTCTTGGTTCTTGATTAACCCGATGCCCATGTCTATCCTTGATGGTCATTCTCCATTCACCACATTGTTTCCTACCTTGTCTCTGTTTCCTCCTTCTCCTCGGGTTTTTTGGTGTGTTTGCTTCGCTCATAATCTAGGGCTAGGAAAGGACAAGTTAGATGCACGATCTATTAAGTGCATCTTCCTTGGCTATTCCTGGACTCAGAAAGGGTATAAGTGTTATCATTCCAGTTCTTGACGTTCCTTTGTGTGTGCTGATGTTACCTTCTTTGAGTCTACTCCATTTTTCTTGGAGTCCGATGATATTTCTTCCTCTTCATCACCTCCTCCCCTTCCTCTTCCAGTTGTGGATTCTATTCCTCTTGTTCCGGCTGTGACCAAGTCCTTGCCTCCGGTGCCACCACCAGTTGAATGACCACCTATGCATCACGTGTATACACATCAAGGGTATTCCCAAACCTATGGTATTGATTATGTAGAGACTTTCTCCCCGGTTGCTAAGATTGGTTCAACCCGTGTTGTGGTTTCTCTTCTTGCGATGTATGATTGGCCCCTCTATCAGCTTGATATCAAGAATGCCTTCTTGCATGATGATCTGCTCGAGGAGGTCTATATGGAGCAACCACCGAAGTTTGTTGCTCAGGGGGAGGATGGTAAGGTGTGCCGACTACTGAAGGCCATTTATGGGCTTAAACAGTCTCCTCGAGCATGGTTTGGCAGATTTAGTGAGGTGGTAAAGAAGTTTGGTATGAAATAGTGCCAAGTTGACCATTTAGTCTTCAGTCATGACTCTCAGGCAGGGAAGATCCTATTGGTGGTGTATGTAGATGATATTGTCATTACCGGAAATGATAAAATGGGCTTTGACAGGTTGAAGACTTTCCTGCAAGAACATTTTTAGACAAAGGACCTTGGTAAATTGAAGTATTTCTTGGGGATAGAAGTAGCAAGGTCTAAGCATGGTATTAACTTGTGTAAGAGGAAATATGTTCTTGATTTGCTTGAAGAAACAGGTTTGTTAGGTGCTAAACCAGCTGAAACACCTATGGAAACAAACACTAAGTTGAGCAGTGATATGGGTGAAGTATTTGAAGACCCTGGTAGATACCGGCGACTGCTAGGTAAATTGAACTACCTAACCATCACTCGGCCAGACATTTCATTCGCAGTTAGTATGGTAAGCTAGTTCATGCAGAAACCTTTGGTTCCACATTGGGATGCGGTTCTAAGGATTGTGAGGTATTTAAAGGTGGCTCCTGGTCGTGGTTTGATATTCGGAAGTGGTGGAAAACTTGGAATAAAAGGATATACTGATGCTGATTGGGCCGGTTTTGTATCTGATAGGAGATCTACCACAGGCTATTGTACTTTTCTTGGAGGTAATCTGGTGACATGGAAAAGCAAGAAGCAGACAGTTGTGGCAAGAAGCAGTGCAGAGGCAGAATATAGAGCTATGACACATACTACTTGTGAATTAGTGTGGCTAAGGAACCTTCTATAGGAGATGGGATACACTGTTGATACTCCGATGAAGCTCTACTGTGACAATCAGGCTGCAGTTCATATTTCCTCTAATCCAGTGTTTCATGAGAGAACCAAGCACATAGAGGTTGACTGTCACTTTGTTAGAGAGAAGGTGCTGAGTGGAGTGATAGACACTGCATATGTCAACACAGGGAACCGGTGGGCAGATTTGTTTACTAAAGGATTGAGTCGGAGTAGAGTGGACTACATATCTAACAAGTTGGGATTATATGATATATACTCTTCAGCTTGAGGGGGAGTGTTAGTGTCGAGTATGTAGGGGTATTTCTGTCTTTGTGCTTATGGTTAGGTGCTGATGTGTATGTTTATGTTAGATCTAATGTTCCTAACTTAAGTAGGGGCACATGTGACTTTTCCACAATATTTTAGTAATATAAAACAGATCTGGCCGAATGGGAGGGTTTACTTTTCTCTTATTCGAACCAGACCTTTTCCTCCATGTCCTCTCTTCTACTCTTCTCCTTTCTCTCTTTCTCTCTTCTCTCTTTTCCTTGACTGTTATCAGTCAAACAGGCAGGCTGAACTCTAATAGTATGTCAATCTCTGTAACCAGATCCAATATACATATTGAAGAAAAGGAAAAAAGGGGTAAAGTAAAATAGAAAATAAAAAGAAAAGGTTAAACCCTAAGAGAGTGAAGCAAAATTTTTGATTTTTGAGAGTGAGAGAGAGAAAATAAGGAGCATAAAATACAAATAGATTACAGAAATACAGAGTTCAGGAAAACATAGTAGTAACCTTTATCATGGTTGGCAAGTCACAAGCTCTTTAGAGGAAGTGGTGTCATTTTTTTTTTCCTGATTTTGAGTATCTTTCTTTTGTAAGCAGTCATGATCTCTTTGTTTCTTTCTTTTGTTTTTTTGAAAAAGGTCAAGTATATATATTACTAAAATTGAGAGAAACCGACTACAAGACCCATGTGCACCAAGGAACTGTAGAATGAGAATATACGGTTACCCCACATGATTTACAAGAAAGGGCATCTCTATCAAAAAATGACTTGTATGATTTACTTTTTAACAACCTATGTACCCCTACCTAAGACAATTCTGCTCTTCCAACTAGCCTTCAGTCCATCTTCAGCTCAATTTACTTTCAGTAATTCTTAAACTCCTTCCTGTCCATATGGTGCACATCACTGCATGAAAAGCAGTGTTCCACACAATGGACCCCTCTTTGCTTAAGCCCTTCAAACCATGTAAGCAATTAAGGTCTGATTCAATAGTGTAATAGGTACTGTCTTTATATTCTCATTGTACATCCTCCAGTTGTAGAGAGGCTTATTCCATTTCTACTTTAAGGCAGTATTTCACCTTTAATGCAGTAACCTTGAGTCATTGTTACTCTTTGGTGCTTGTCACTCACTGATATCTGAAAAAAGGCAGGGATGCCTAAGAAGAAATTTTGCTTATGGAAAGGATTTGATTCATTGCACTGCACATGGAATAGAGAGAATGGTTGTTGTCCATCTGATCACCAAATAGGGAATTCTGGCTGATGTTTCCATGTGAAAATCACCGCTGAAAATGATCACTAGAAATTGGCCTACATGGAAGAGACTAGAGGGGGCTATTGCCTCTCAAACTTACCTCTCTCTATGCAATTGCTGTTCGCTGCTTCTAAGAAAGTTTTTCAAAAGTGACGGACTGAAATGAAGAGAATAATATTTTGATTAGGGTTAAAATATGTAGTGTTTAGACGTAGGGACATGAAAGAAATTAGGAGAAAAGAAAAGTCTAATTAGTGATAAAACATGAGGACCAGGGTTTGAACCACTGCCCATTAAGCTGGTTGAGCGGTTTTGCAGTTAAACCGTCTGGATATCTGACTATGTTAATGCTTTTTCAAACTATCTAGATGTAAGGTTGGTCCGAAATGCTCTCTTGACCAGATGTGGGTTGAACAGCTTAGCTGCCTTCTTATATGATCAGTTGAAAACATTGATTGCAGGATGTTTTTTTTTGTTTTTTTTTTTGATGAATCACTGATTGCAGGATATTATACCATGACTATGTTTCTGAAAACTGAAAATATTTTTATTTCATGCATCTTTTGTTGTGCCTTTGTTACATCCTCTTCTGTGTTCTGTCTGCCTTTGGTAGACCATTGTTGTGTTGAATGCATTTCATAGACAGGAATGCAATACAGGGTGGCCTTATTGTTACATTATGGATACATAAACACAAAAGTCAAAGTATTAACTTATTTCTAGGCCACTTCTTGAATGCACAATCTAAAATTTACACCATTTGAAATGATTTTGATGGTGACACCAATCTTTCTGAATAATAAAAATACATTTGGTAAATTATTTGGGTGAGAGTTTTGCTATCTTGCATACTTTATTTGCATGAGTGTTCATTTTCTGCAGCTCTTCAACTCTTGGAGGAAATGGATTTTGTATAGTTAGGATCCTTGTAGAATCAATAGTTCATTGGTTTACCTAAATTATTTGCTTGCATTCTCTTATTACTGCTTGATTATAGAACCAAGCCCACAGGTTAGCTGGGTTGGCATTGAGACTTATTTTCTTGTAGCTGATCTATATCAGTGGCTATTTTGCCACATGCATGGCTTTCTATGGAATCCCATCAGTGAAGTCCCTGATTTGTGTGTTCCCCAAAAGTTATCATATGGCCTAGTGATGAAGTTATTTACTGTTTCTTCTTCTTTTTCTTACCCCCTCTCTCTCTTTTATTCTCTTGCACACACACACACACACCAAGTTGCTAGATATCAGTCCTTATAAGCCTTTCTTTATAATGCAAATGGTTTTTTCTTAATGATCATGCATTGCTTTTGTTAATGCTAATTTTGTGCATGTGATTTTCAGTTATATTGACTATCTATTTTTGGGAGATTATGTTGACCGGGGTCAACATAGCTTGGAAACCATAACTCTTCTCCTTGCATTGAAGGTATCTTGCTAAGATATACATTTTGTGCTGTAAAACATTCAAGTGCTCAATTTTGTTCTGTATTGAACCAAGGTGATTATTTAAATTTTCCAGGTTGAGCATCCTCATCAAGTACATTTAATTCGTGGGAATCATGAGGCAGCAGATATCAATGCTCTCTTTGGTTTCCGGATTGAGTGCATTGAGCGGATGGTATAAATTTCTTTCTTTTTTCTCTCTTTTTTGTGTTTGTGTGTCTGCTAGCATGCCTGCATGTATTAATTTTTTGCATTTATCTTCATTCACATGCTAACAGGGTGAACGGGATGGAATTTGGGCTTGGCATCGCATAAACCGATTATTTAATTGGCTACCTCTGGCAGCCCTAATTGAAAAGAAAATTATTTGCATGCATGGTGGCATTGGTCGGTCAATAAATCATATAGAACAGATTGAGAACCTTCAACGCCCAATCACAATGGAAACAGGCTCGGTTGTTCTTATGGATCTACTATGGTTGGTTATCTTGTTTTCATTTATTTCTTGTTCTTTTGATGGCTTTCACACTTCAGATAGAAATGGCATATCTATTGCAGTCTTAACTGTGATTTCCTTGTTACAGGTCAGATCCAACTGAAAATGATAGTGTTGAAGGATTAAGGCCTAATGCTAGGGGTCCAGGCTTGGTTACTTTTGGAGTGGGTGCCTTTTTTCTTTGCTTATTTCATTGATATCAAACTATGCATGGTTACTTCTAGATGTACTCTCTAGTATTAACTATTAACACTTCAAAAATATGTAAGGTGGTATGTTTTAAGAAGTTATACTATATGGCCAGCCATCTGCATATGTTAGAAATTCAGTTAAACTTGGCAACTTGGCAAGGCATTAACTCTTGAGAAATGGCGTTTGGCTTTAAAACTAGATATAAATACATGATAGAAGCATATTATGGTATTCCCGTACCCATATATCCATGTCCAGGATTTTAGAAAATGGAGGCTTGTATCTTCGTGTCTTGTATCCATGATTTGTCCATGTTGTTATCCATATCTGGGCATCTTTGAACCAGAAAACAGAAAATAGGAGAAGATTGTTCTTTTGAGAGAGAAAACTCACCTAGGGATAGACACTTGCTTCTCATGGAAAAAACTGATTAAGTTCTTGCTACATTCTTTTGCTTCAACTAAGTCTTTGTGATCCATGCACAGTTATCTTGTGGGGGGACTTTTTTCCATCCAATTTAGTAACCAGGACATGATTGTAAAGTTTTCTTGTTCCCACTTTTCTTAGGTGAGATTAGTGGTTTTTGGCTTTTCGATCTTCCTCGTCAAATATCTTGACTTCCCACACCCTCCAGTGTACATTTTTACCGACTGTGACCATTCTAAAAAGTTTGAACCATCTAAATTTGACAGTTGAACCTGCAAACTTGGGTTGTCAATGAGAGAGGTAAAGATAGACCAAAACCCTGAGGTTCCTAATATGTTCTTAATATCCGTAGCTTATTCCCTGTAGGCAGTTTCTTGCAGCTAGATCTTTGCAAAAGGCATCTGAATCAACTACACTTTTCCCAAGACCAGTACCTTCCATACATAGAAACCACTTGTATGAGCCTATGATAAAAGAACTGGCAACATGAGTCTTTTACTCAGAATGATATCAAAGATCATGCATGAATCACACAACACTAATTCAAGGTGCCAAGGTGAAGCTAGGTGATAGGGGAGCGTCTTGTCGCTTAGTCGCTTAGGCATCAGCTAGGTGATGAGTTCTTTAACATAAAAAAAAACAGTATCAATCCTAGGGTAGATCCCTAGGTTTTATAGTAATAAGTAGTGATCTTTAACTAATAATCACCATAATTCTCATGAAATAAGTATAAACCCCTTAGCAATAGATAGAAAGTGAACATATTTATGAGTAGAAAAATAAGAAAGGGAAGAAACATACAAAACATAATGGTTGAGCCCTTGTTTTGGTCCTAGTGATTGTTCTTGTGTGTCAATTGGATAAAATCTTCAAGTTACTTTTTACTTATCAATTCAGGTTTTAAAGTCTTAAAGGGTTCAAGACTATGACACTGACTTGTGTCTCGATTGAACTCAAACAAATAAGATAATAACAAAAAGAAACTAGTATGAATAACAATATTAATACTATGAACCTGCAATATGAATAATCTAGTCTAATAATATATATTGTACTACTATTAATGCATGCAGAGCTAATGGACGTTAGCTCATCCTGTTAGTTCCAAGTTCAAATGTGAATGTAAACAAATAATTTAGTCTGGCAACCCCCCAAGAATGCCTTATTGCCTAGGCATTGCCTTGATAACTATGGATACAATCATCTGTCATTCAACAGCGAGTAAAGACAACTTTCTGGTATATACAGTAAATATGAAGTGAAAACTTTTGACGAAATGTTCTATACTTTACCAAAAATCTAGGATCAGTTCTATATTAATGCAGAATTGTCATGTGACCAGAGTCTACAGGTCCCATTTGGGGGAAAAATACTTCATATATTTGTGGGATCCCTACTGACTATTTTGTTACTGTTCTGCTGTATTTTGTTCAGCCATAAAATGTACAAAAATCTGAAATCAACTCAAATGGGTACAACTCTTGGATGCAAATTCGTCTACCAGACCATGTGATTTTTTCTTGAAGTAGTTGCAAACCACCTGCAGCCCTACTGACCATGTATGGTTGTAGAAGAATGACAAGAACCCGAAAACAGAATGAACAATCCATCTGAGAGAAAAAAATGAACTATGCAACTAGTTATGTGGTGCATTTGAGTCATTTGGTCTGGCTACAACTAGGAATGATGAAAACCAAGTCAAGCAACTGCTTAGTCCACTGAGTTTGAATTTTTCTTTCTTTAGTTTTTTTAACAGAACATCTAAGTAGAGTTTAGGATTTTCTTTTTCTTTGAAATGGTGGAGGATAGTTGAAGAAGCAATGCTGTGATTGAAAGGGATCTCTCCAGCCCATCTAACCAAATGAGTTGAGTAATTATAACTAGGAAATGACCAGTCTACTGTTCACCCAGGGAAAGCCCAAATGAGCAGGCACTGTTTAGCTTGCTTGACTATGCTGTCTTCAACTCTAAGAGATGAGATGAGAGAGTTTATGCATGTAATCATTTTGGATATACTGGTGTTGAAACCTGGAGTTTGTTTGCTGGCCTAACTATCAGACCCCTGATTGGTTTTACTTTGTTATCTGATCTTGGAATGCTTGAGAAAACTAGTTTAATGTGGTTAACTAGAAGTGTGGTTCATGTTCTAGTCTGAACTAGTTTATCTGAAGTCTAAACTGCCACTGAATCGATAGACCCCTGATCATAAATGAGCAGCTTTGATGTGATAATAATAATGTTTTTGTCCTATTAGTTTAAAATAAATGTCTTAAAGTTGCAACAACAAATTGGTATATTTTTTTTGTTCAATAACCACATAATTCATTAAAATAGGAAAAAAGTTACAGGGAAGGGGAGCTAAAGGTACTTAACTCCCCAGAAAAGAAGTACAACTGATTTAAACACTCAGACCCTCACAATTGAGCCCAAAACCCAGAATTACTAAAAACTCCTTGCCTAGCCAATCCATCAGCAAAGGAGTGTTAGCATTTCTTCTAACCCAAGTACATTGGACTTCCATATCCTTAATCAGCCACTTGAATTTTCTTTTCTCATTGCTGTAGCTCCACATCTTGCAAGTGTCTTCTTTCAGCCAATTCACAACAATCACAGAATCTCCTTCTATAAGCAGTTTCTTGACTTGAATTTCTTTGGCCCTTTGTACCCCCTCCAACACTGCTAACACCTAAGCCCTCAAGGAGTCTCCCACTCCAATTGGACATGAGAACATAGCTATTACATTACCTCTCTCATCCCTTAGGACCCCCCCAATACCCAAAGGCCCTGGATTCCCCATGCTACTGCCATCAAAATTTAGTTTGACAAAACCATGAGGTGGAGGGTTCCACATGATATTCAAAGTCTTCTTCCTTGTAACTGAGCTAGCAACTTCTTTCCACTTTCTTAGCATATCATTTATTGAAAAATCTGTAAACTCCTTCATTGTCTTCAGCCAGTGTGTTACTCTTATATGAATCAACTCTACCAAAGTTTCCAAGCCTCTCTCCTTTTCCGAGAAGATTCTTCCATTTCTTTCCTCCCATAGTGTCCAACAAACAGCAGCTCTCACGCATCTCTACATAATTCTTGATGTTTTCGTTGAGCATTCAATAGGTGAAGAGGAAAACAAGCTTTGCAGACTATTTGGAGGTGTCCACCTGCACCCAAATAAAGAAGCAAAACAATCCCAAATATTTTTTGCCAAAACACAAGATATTAGTAAGTGGTACCCAGACTCACCAGCAGCTTTGCATAAAACACACAAGTGTGGAGATAAACAGCTATTGGGTCTTTTTCTTTGAAGTAGGTCGGTCACCTGTGTTGATTCTTTCAAGGAAAACTTCCCAACAAAAAGCTCCTAACCCTCGGAGGTATAGGTTTACACCACACTTCCTTGACAGGGAATGACAGACCAAAAGGAATTTCTGGTTGTATCAGGACTTTAATATATTCAAGTGTAAAATACTACTTTAACTACTTGGTATTGGATTTGAGTTCCTCTACATTGTGTGCGTCATAAAACATGATCAAGCATGTGGGTTTTAATGGCCTCAGTAAGGAGCAAGTGGAGAAAAGTACTTCCTTTTGCAAGCCAATTAGAAATTTTTGTTTTCAACATACTGATGAATCATCTTTGTATTTCACCTAATTAAAAAAAGTTGCATCTGGTGTAATCTTTTCATGTTATGCTTATATGTTTGTGGTTATACTCTACATTTTTAGACTTTTGAACAGTTAAAATTGTAATTATTTGTACGAGATCTCTTCTAAACATGAACTTTGAATTCCCTTGATACTTGCATTTTGTCTGTGCTGTTATTTTGGTAGATGAAAATCTGAACCTCTGCCAAAAATGTGAAATAATTTCAGGCTTTATGCTTATATCATAATCAAAGAAATCTTATGATTGAACTTGTTCAATTACTTGCTTTGTTTGAAAATATATGTGCCATTTGGGAGGCCTTTCTGTTCTCTAAAGCAGTTTAGCTTTGCAGCCTGATCGCGTGATGGAGTTTTGCAACAACAATGACCTCCAGTTGATTGTGCGCGCACATGAATGTGTGATGGATGGCTTCGAGCGCTTTGCCCAAGGACATTTGATAACTCTCTTCTCAGCTACCAATTATTGTGGTATGTTGGCATGGTGTTATCCTTCTTTCAACAGAACTTGGTTGATTCAACCTCTAATTTGGATTTTTACCTGTTTCCATAGGTACTGCAAATAATGCAGGGGCGATCTTAGTTTTAGGAAGAGACCTTGTGGTAGTGCCAAAACTCATTCACCCACTACCACCAGCAGTTGCATCACCACAGACATCACCCGAACACCATATAGAAGATACATGGATGCAGGTACTGTTGTAATCTCATCTTTTGAAGGGTCATGCCTCTTTATTGATAATTTTTCTTTATTGCCATCCTTGCATGTTATCTGAGAATTAACCCTGTCCATTCATTTGATGTGAGATCAGGAGCTTAATGCAAACAGACCACCAACACCAACCAGAGGCCGCCCTCAAGTTGCAAATGATCGGGGTTCTCTTGCCTGGATTTAGAATTTCCTTCAAGATTTTTTTGTATTCTTTTAAGGGCTTAGATGGCCTAAGGCTTATGACATTGGCTGGGTTTGTCTTGCACAAAGCATTGGCAGTTTAAACAGGAATCCTCAACCATGCAATATTGTCCGTCCCTGATTCACAATTGAAGATTTTCATGAGAACCCGTTGGTTTCTTCAACTTGAGAGAATGCAGATCGGGGTTGATCAAGACTATGACTTGGAAAGAGAACCTGGGTTGCAGATGGTGGGATTGGTTTGTTTAGCGATTCCAGTCAAAGAACTTCAACTGCTGCGGGCGTTCCTCCATAGGTTGTTGCCTCTTGTATATTGAGCCACATTCATTTTTGTGTTATTGTCCTTTCTATATTTGGCCCGTTTTTTTCCACCAGTAGACATCAGATCTCAAGATATGTATGAACTCATGGCGTCCATGTATCATAGCGGGTGTTGTCAGGTGCAGTTATGGTGCCTTGTAATTTCCTTTGTGCTGTTTGTAGAATGTAACTTTGTGTGAAGAAAAGTGGCTTCGTTTTATGTTTTCTTTCGTCCAAGAGATTTTGATGGACACTAGCCTGGGCTCCTGGGTGAAAGGGATGTTTTGATTTGGGCTGAGAGAGATAAGAGTTGTCCTGGTGATTTCAGCTGTTTTTTATCAGTATTTGCAAGTTTTTGGAATGTAAAAACGGCAACTGCTCTGGTTAATTGTATAGGAGTAGGACTGTAGGACATGAGACGCGTGACTCTTAGTCCTTTGTATATGGGATCAGTAGAGTCAACCAAATGAATGAAACCTATTGAGAGTTATGGTTATATAGCCTTTGTTGAGATTTCATAGATCATAGACCCTTGTTACATTTCTGTGCAGCAAGAAAGATCATTACCTCTATTATTTTTTGGTACTTTGTATAAAGTGAACAATTATCTATCCATGCATACTTCAAAATTGAAGGAAACAGACTATATTGAGCCTTTGAAGTGATCCTTTGGCTAAGGCTGTTCATAAGAAGACCCAATCCGACTAAACCGACCAATTTGAGCCGATCCAATTAGGTTATAAAAAATCATTAACCGATGATTCGGTTCGGTTTCGGTTTTCATGTATGAAAATCAAAACTGACCCGAACCGAATCGACTTAATAGTTAGTTTCTAATTAGTAATTATAACCTACTTAGTTCCTACTTAACTTAATCAAAACTGACCCGTCTTTATTTTTAGCGGGAGCCACCGGCTCTACTCAACCTCCATCTCCACAATCCGATCTTCAATAGAAGATTGATGTACATGTACTCAAATAAAAAGTTATAGACCCTACTTTTTAGTGGGAGGGGGACATGGCCGGGTTTTACATGCCCATCCTGGCCCAGAACTCTTTTGTCTTTTTCCGAATCCCACAGGGGCTAGAAATCCCAGCCATATTTCTGCCCCGTGGGAAATAGGGATTCCCAAATTTGCTCCGCCCTTCCTTGTCATCTTATTTGCAAATTTATTTATTTTTTTTGAAAATTACGTAGAACTATATTATATTATGTAATATATTAATGTAGTGGGGCTGGGGTGGACAAATACCATCCCTGTCCTTAGAATTTTGGGTTTCCTCGAAATGCACCCTGAACCTCGACCATTGGTCAAAAAACCCACCATGACTGGGGTGTAACCCCAAGGAGACGGATCAAATTGCCAATCTCTACAAATTAGAGCCACTCATGGGCACGATGAGAGAGCACTCATTGAGTCATTACTAATGTTTCTTTCTAATGCGTGGATAGTAGCGTAGATGATGGGTCATGACCCACTTTTGTTTAGTTTCTCAACATTAGGCCCATATGCTTGCCTGTTCAAATAACTTAGGGTCCGTTTGGCTCGTAGTCGGAATCAGAATCGAAATCTTTTGGAATCGGAATCGGAATGGTCCATTCCCATAGTCTGTTTAGTCTGGGAATGAGAATTAAAATCAGCAGGAATGAGATTTCATTCCCAAAGGAGGAGCAGGGAATAGCCATTCTCTCAAATGGGGGAATGCCATTCCAGCAGGAATGGGAGCGGGATTCCGATTCCACCCAACCAAACAGTTGGAATCGGAATAGCTTATTCCAATTCCGATTCCAGACCCCTATTCCTGCAAACCAAACGGATCCTTCATTTTTTTTCGGGAATTAGTTCAACAACTTAATTTTGACTTAAAGAATAGCGCTGGAGAATATGCCAAAATTTAGCGAGGATTTACCCCTCTCCAACCCCAAAGTTCCATTACCAAATTGATGTAGGCCTCATAAGGTTCAAATACAAATATGTACAGTATAAATACATACAAAATGCAAATTTTGGTACTCTACATATTTGCATAATTGCATTCGCATTTGTACACCTTCCAAACTGAGCCTAAAGAAAAAATTAAACCACCAAGGAATCTATTATATATTTATATATCATATGCACTTGTGCAAGTAGGTTTTTGTTATATGGTTATAATATTGATCTTCGCCAAATCCAAGGTTTTAAAGATCACTTTCCTTCCGTTTTTAGCTTTTACATTTATTACAGCCTTCAACTCTGAAAAGTAGTCATATACCCCTTTCCCCCTTTTATCCAGGATGCCCAGCCAGTTCATTTTTCAAGGCTCGTCCAATTGGGTTACATTGCTGGCTGAACACTAAAAACAAATCGTAGAAATGAAAGAATATGAGATCATGATGCATGGAGCAACCAAAAGGAGGAAGAAAAAGTCTAAAAAAACTAAACAAGTCTCAACCGTCAACTCTCAAGTGAGTCTTCTCTAAGTTCAAGCTGTAAGAAGTAAAACGTACTACAGGGGGTTTGGAGCTGGCTTCAATGCTTCATGGGGCTGGGCTGCTCTTCTTCTTAGGGACTACGATAATGACTATGATGATGATGATTATCAGGAGGATGGTGATCCCAAAGCAAGCCCATTTTCGAGTGTTCTTCTGAAGCGTTCTGGCCACTTGAAGCTGCTCTGTCCCGCCTCTGATGAAAGAAGTGGCCCGGGCCACTTGGCTCTCAATGTCGTCCAACTGCTCTCCCTGGCTCTGCACCAGCACTGCCATGTCCAAGAACACCTGATGCAATTCCTTCAGATTCTTCTCTATCTCTTTCACTGCGTCCTGTCTCTCTTGTATTTCCGATACTATGTCCATAACCGTCCCCCTCCCTTGCTCCTGTATCATCTTCTGAAACAGATTCTCGCTCTGCCCCGTCGATATCAAGGCATCCACTGTTCTCTTGTCGGGCTTCTCCCCCGTGACCGTGAAGTATCTGTGCTCCACGGTCTCTTTGTACTCCGTGGCAATCTTCTCCCTCAGTGTGTTGAAATTCTCCATTTGGTCCTTCAGCTTCTTCCTTAGGCCGCTGACGACGGACGTCCGCGTCCGGTCGGAGGAGCTTCCCGGGCCGCACCCAGGAGTGCTGCGGTGGGCGGCGTTAGCACGATCGAGTGCCTCGAGACGGATCTTGACCATCTTGGCCTTCTTGAGCACGAGTGCAACGTCGGCGTCCATTCGGGCTCGGAGATCTTTGATGGACCTAGCGTTATGGAGGGTCATGCTTTCTTCATGGGAATCTTGGAGACGCCGGTGGAGTGCTTCTACTTCTTTGAGCTCGTCTTTGATCCCTTCCACGTCTTCGAAGAACTTGTCCAGGTTGACTCCCACAGTTCGCATCTGTACATCTCCACCACTGGCTCCTCTGCGGGAGTACGGTGGTTCGAGATCAACATTGTTGCTCCTGAGTCCAGAGAAGGATCCGGAGAAAAGATCATTCATCCTCTCTTTCTACAGGATGAAATCTGTTTCTGGGGCGCTAAACCGGGGAAGATGAAATCTTCTTCGACAAGAACTAAGAGATGGAGTAGAGAGAGAGAGAGAGAGACAGAGGTGGGGGCCGTCCCGCCGTCTCGGTTGGTCTGGTGGCGCTGACTGAGACGACTGAGGAGAATATTTATATAGATGGATAGATGGATGGACAGGGAAGCGAAGACCAGAGAGTCCAGAGGCCTCGTCCTTTGGGTGTCGGTAAAGGAGTCCGGTTCAGGCAGAGGTGGTGATATTTTGAAGTCAACTGGAGTTAGACGTGGAAATTAAAAGGGACTTTATTTATTTATTTATTTTTGCTGAATTTAAAAGGGAGAACTTGGATTGGTGAAGTGAATCTAAAATAATGGAAGGTCACAACTGGATCAGTTGGTTAATTAAAAAAAAAAAAAAGCTGGGTCAGTTGGTAAGGCTATTTTGATAGTACAAAAATACCTATTAAACAAAATAATAATAATAATAAATAAAAACAATAAGGCTATATTTGGTTTAAAGTAAAAGGTAGGGAAACCTATACAAGGTTTCCTTACTTTTCCCTACCTTTTCCTTCAAACCAAACATAGCCTAAAAGGAAATCTCTTTGAATAAAATCCCCCTCTCCCCTCCCTCTTAAGTCTATGATCAATTCTATTTTTCATTGATATTATTATTATTATTATTATTATTATTATTATTAAATGGAGGTATAAAATTCGTAGAAGGGGTTAGCTTTTATAATTATTCAAAATGTAAAAGGAGATTTTTGAAGAGGTCAAATTTCAAGAGAGGTTAAGACAATTGTTAGAAACTACAAGAAAGGCTTAAGTCATTTCTTGGAAAAAAGTCTAGAATAATTGGGTACAATGAAAATGCTTTGGAAGTGAGGAGCTTGTTGTGCAAAGTCTATGATTTATTTGATTACAAACTTTGGGAGTCCAAGGGAATTTGCATAACACAAAGGAAGAAGCTAATAAACTTTTGCATTCACCAATAATTTTGGTTAATTTTCAAAGAGGTAATAAAGATTCCTTCAACAAAAGTTTGACAATGGATTAATATGAATTAATCCATATCTTTCCATACCACTTTGGCCACGACCAGTTTCATCTATATTTCTCCATTGTGATAGCTAGAGCCAAGAATAAAACCTATAATGGTAAAAGAAGTCACATATGTTTAGGACATAATTTGGTAAGATAGTGTTTCAGTGAATGATTAGATTTTGTAAGGTCTGAAAAGAACCTTATAGATTCATTAACCAAATCACAGACTTCTAAAGTAGTTTATGAGGCATTGATAGGAATGGGGTTGAAGCTAATTACATAAGTGATTGGTGATGGACACCCAACCTATGTGAAAGGAGATCCCTGGAATTAGGTAGAATGGGTAAGAACTAGTCACTAGATGATTTGGGAAAACATTATCAATATGTGTTCCATTACAGATGTTGAAGTAAGATAGTGTTCATTACAAGATGTGGAGGTTGAGTGTAAGACTCTTAATCGGTTTATACAGAACGGTGTGTTATAGTGCATGTTATGTAACCAATGTAAGTGACTGTAAAGTGTGGCCGCTTCTACGAGAGTTCCAAGTGTTAATTCTCTAAAACACTCGTGATTCCAAGAGAGGAACAATGCCAAAATGTTTCAAAACAAAGAACCACTAAGGAATTAGTGAGTTAGGTTGGTTAGTAGATTAGTTGGTTATGGAAAAGAGGAAAGTTTGAAGGAGTCTAAATCTACTTGTACTCTATAACATAATTTGTCATACCTAAATATTGATTTAAGTCCAAAAGACATCACCATGAATACTTTTCTTACCTCGATGCTCAGGTTATTCTTATATTTTGAATCTTGTGTGAGATTGTTGGAGGGAATATTCAAATTACAAGAATATGAACTCCCTCCCTTTTGCTTTTATTTTATCTTTGTTAGCTTTTATCTCTATCGTCTTCTTTCCTCTTGAATGCATGTGAAGACCTCTTGTCCCACATTGCTTGGGAAAAGAGTCAGGCTTGAGTATATTACTAGACTTACTCTCTTTATGGGTAGGGACCCATAGGAGGAAAACACTATACAATATTCACATGCATGTGAGAGAAGTTAGGGGTGCTTTTCACATAGGTGCGCATCGAGCCGAGCCAAGCCAAGCCAGGCTGGGTTGAGGCATAGGCACGCATGTGCATGTACATGTGTGTACCACACCATATCTTTTTGCTCTTGACTGTTTGGTTTCTAACCTGTTTGACCGTTTGATTTTAATTTTTATTTTAAAACATCTCTTTTCCTATCTCTCCCTCTATCAAAGGACATCTCTGTGTATGCTCGAATGATTGTAAACACTTGATAAATAGAGTGTTGGTAAACTCAGTGTCACAGAACATACACAAACACAATCCTCTGTTATTTGTTTGAACCATCTTCCATTAGTGGTTCATAGAGGTTTGGTTGTTTCATATTGAAGACCAATTTGCATTCACTCAGCTACACCATGAGGGAAAATGCAGTTTTAAGGAAAGTGACCAAGTGGCATAGCTCAGCCCTGCTTCTGATTGCATTTCTCAATTTCTCAACACTGCTTCTGCAAACATTGTTGTGTACTCTAGTTTGAAAAGAAAAAAATGATAAGTTCCATTCTCCTTCTTGATTACATTTTTACAATAGATAATGACATGGATAAATGCACAATTTGAAGATTTGGCTCCATTGAGGCTACGGAATTGGTACGATACCCTCCCCGTCACCAGAACCAACAACCTCAAACATGAAAAGAGGCTCATTCAAACTGGAAATATGCTATCACCTCTTTATTTTTGGCCATTTTTGCATCTTTCCCTTCCCCTAGAACAACAATGAAAAACTTAAACTAGATGTTTATGACCATGATCAAGGTGTGAACACCCAGCATCGACATTTTCATGTGCACTCTATTTTTCAAAAACTCAAACACTAACAATGTGTAAAAAGCACCTAACCCATTGAATGACGAACTCAAAAAGCTTGGAACCATCCTAAATAGATTTTCTCCAAATGAGTAAATGAAAAGACTCTATATTGAGCCAAGAAAGATTTACGTGATCAACAATGATGAAACCCTTTGCTGCATCTTTGATTTCCTTGAAGACCATTGGGCACTAATCATGGAGGGAGACTCTAAAGGCCCAAATCCACCAACGACCATTGCACTTCCTTGTTTCCCAAGATAGCCTATTGGAGTCCAAGGTGAGAGAGTCAAGTGCTGACCATTTAGCTAAGATTTGTCTGATTGTAGAGTATCAACAACTTTAGTCTTGGACAAAGAAATAGGAAGCAACTTGTTCCCTTCCAAGCTTTAGATCTTTGACTTTGAATAGTTGTTCCAACAGAGAGAAGCTCAACTCTTTACCTCCCTCAAATCTAGAAACCTATCAACAAACCAAATCTGTCCTTACAATTAAAGATGGACCATATTTAAAAATTGGGGTATTTTAGTCAAACAAAAGTTCCACTCTCACATGTTGTTAAAAAAAGTATGTTGTATCCAAACACATGTTCTTGCTGTCTACTACTAAAAGCATGTTGGGAAAATATTGCCAAACCCATTTTATTACCATATCAAAGAAAACTCACTTTATCACACAAAGTACATAGTAAAACTTGAAAAAGCAAAATCTGCATTTGGGCTTTTAGAAACATATAAAAGTAGAAGTCTATCCAAACAACACATCAGTACGGCCTTTGTCCTTTCCAAAATACTAAAAGATGAAAATCAGTTGAAAATATATTTATTACTTATGTATTTTAGTTTAGCAATACAAGAAAAATTGTGAACATTTATAATTTGCAAAATAGGGTTCGACTGGAAAGACATGATACTAGAAAAACTTACAACCAATCAACCATCATAAAAAAGGTAGGAATGAATCAGGTGGATTTTAACCAAAATTCACTGAGGGTTGTAATTTATGAAAGCCTATCTAATATCATGTCTTTCTGGCATCATAGATTTTCTCTGTAAAATAGCATAATACAAATTAAAAGCAAAAAACAAAACAAAACTTTGTTAAGGAACGAATTATGCTTAGAAAGTAAAAGACACAATTTCAGTTGGTAGGCTTAATTTGTACATATAGAAAACATTTTTTGCTTTTCCTTTAACTTTTTTAAATGGGGATGGTTGTCCCTTCAACTTCTTTTATTATTTTATATAGTCAACTTTTAAGAAAACAAAGGGTAATTAATATGAAAATTTATATAAAGAAAAATTAAAGTGATGTTTCTTAAAGAACTTATTTGTATGATATATTTCCATATCAAATAATACACAACAAATTTCTTTAAAATATTGTTAAGTGACCGAGGTACCCAGATCCACCTCGGTAGGTCGATGAGTGTGGCGAGCTGCTCGGGCCCTGTCTTAGCTAAGTGACCCAAGGTGCCCTAGGTGACTTGGACTGTTTAGGTGTCCGAGGATGTTGAGATGTCACCAAGTCAATGGGTTGCTTCACATTTCATCAGGTCACTGGTCAGGCCAAATTATCCTTCATCAATAAGCTTAATCAGGTTATGGGAATTTTAATGGGATAATGTTTTCTTTTATTGACTAAATTTTCCCTAGTGGTATAGTGCTACAAATGGTATCAGTTTATCCATATCCAAAAGTGTGATTTTCTCTATAAAAAAAGTGCATTCTAAATAGATTTATTCATGGGCCAGGTTTGGTTTGAGATTTTGCCAAATTTTGAATGAACTAACCACATATCTTGAGCCCTAAATAGTGTAAAATTTGAATGTGCCGAGGCCTAAAAACAGCCCGTGAAAATTAGGAGAGAAGAGATGCCATAGTTATGGTTTAGAATAAGATGATGTTTTCATTTTATTTTATTTTATTATGTATTAAGCTTTGCATATTGTCTTGGTGTTGACCTTTTTTAGGACTTCTACAATATCATCACGGTTGTAGAATTTAACCACCAAATCGGGATGGATTGGCATGGTTCTAGCCCATTTTTAGACTGGACCACTTTTTTGAAAAAAAAAAATAGTTGAGTTGGTCAAAGAACTATGGACCTAGATGGTTAAACCGCTAAACCATTCGACTCGGGTAGGAATTTGCAATTTAATAAAAAAATATTAACTTTTTTAAGATATTAACAAAGAAGAAAAAAGAGATTGAGAGATAGGGGAAGGACTGAGACATGATCTTAGACCTAAGATTTGT